TATTCTACTCAAAACCAGTTTTAAAACAAACTTCTAAATCTTAGATACATTAAAGGCTTCACTTAGAAATCCGATTGTTTTACATTAATATTACCGCGGGCAAGTGTTTCATTGTGCATTTAATAATTTTTATATTATATTCATTGATGAACAATACAATGATAAAACAGTTGGACAAAATTGAAACGACAGTCTTGCCATTTCCGCTCGATGAAAGAATCTCAATTGCTGTTGAATCTTGTTGTAAAATGGGAATAAATATAAGTATGCACAATGGACTAGCTATGATGACCTTCAGCGTATTTTAAAAAAGGTTTAGAACGTAGATACACATCGTTTTAGATAAAAATATGTTAACCATTGTGTATATCGGATTTTCAATAGATAGAACATTTTATAATAGAATTAGAGGATTTAACATTGATTTTGTTCTTATCGACTACCGTCAGTTTTTATTTTATTCCTCTTTGATTACCTTCATCTTTGAAATAGAAAACCCATTCATGATTGATTTGATCAATATATCTTGGAAAAATAATCTCTGGAAATAAACCAGGGAATGGTGGAGTGGAGTGGTGCACATTGGGCGTATTTTGACAATATTGCAGTGAACAAATTACGCGCTTACCAATGTTGCTGTCTGGTTTTCAACCGGTTTTTTGTGTGCCTCCAAATCGTATTTTGCCTGAAAACGGGTAGTATAGGATTCTGCAAATAATTCTCCGAGTACTCATACACAATGTTATCTAAGACACAGTATAGTGTAGTCATAAGAAATGTTGTATATATCGTAGTTGAGGTGTTTTTATTTAAGCAAATTGCATCAACACAGATTAAAATGTGCGCCTACAACGACTTGCCTACTATACACATTTATTTTAGCGATTTGCCAAAGCGCTTATAATCCAAATCGTGGCTCACAGCACAGCTTATTTATAATAACATGCAAAAATATAATAATCATCATAATTTTTACAATTGTTCTCATTTAATTGTTATATATCAGTTGTTAATATAATTAAGTTCTTTGTGTGTAATATAGCTAAACTGTGATATGTTTTGTTTGTAATATTTTTTGAATTTTATTTGTTTTATGAATTAAACAAGTTAAAAAAAAATTTAAAAACAGCACTTAGTATTATTTGTTTGAGATTCAAGATGGTGGGCACCAATGGAAGAAAGTAAAAACCATTTCGAGAACTCGATTTGAGATTACAAGAATAGAGACAAAATATTATTTTAAACAGCGTTTGAAATTTTCTAACAAAAATTATATGAAGAAACGTTTAATTCCATTGGCAAATTTAACTGTTCAGTAATCTGTGTATTGGAAAGTAAATAACTCGATACCAGGCCAAGTGATACATCATGCAACTCGATTATGATGATGATTATTTAATTAATAATGATACGATTTGCTTAAATAAAAACGACTTTGGTTAATCATAGCCTGTGACACAGCAAAATGTCCCTGTGGTTGATAATAGGTTCTAATAAAACAAAAATATACTTATGATAAAGACGTTTTGAGGATCATCTCTGCAACAGTCGTGGAGCTTTTATAAAACTTTGACCACGGAGCATCGTTTCAGGGTTTCTAGTATTTTTTTACTTTTGATCATTGGTTGTTAATCATCAAGGCATAAGACATAGTTGTCTCTGTACTGTAAATGATAAAACAAGGGGCTTGTAGTGATTAAAGAATATAACAAATCGTGCTAGAAGTGATGTATTTGTTCTTTAATCAAGTATTGAAGTCAAGCAGATAATTGGTCAATTACAGTTGTCAAGAATTTCCCACAGTTTAAAAATTATTTTCATCTTAAAAAAATTGTTGGATAGAAGATCTAGATTAGAAATCTGTATATGGTGTTTATTGACTTACTGCCAGGAGAGTCGATTATTCCAAATTCTACAGAGAGTCTATTCTGCCACATGCTTGTGGCATTTCATGAGAAATTTCACCATTCCCCGTGAGTCACTGAGTGTTGAGTTCGATACAAATGTAACAGTCTGGAGAGGCTGTGATCGTTGTAATAGGAAGTAGCTCTGATTAGCACACCGATTTGTTTTGATATCGGATTTGGTAGAGCTTGTTGTTAACACTAACAAGTTTTTACGGTCTAAACCTAGCTCACGTTCCCTGTTGGTGGGCGAACAATCCAACGTTTGGCGAATTCTGCTTCGCAACGATAGGAAGCACCAAATTAACACAAAGGGGCGGTGATGGTGGGTCAATTGAGCAACAGTTCCAACTTGACGTGACTAATGTTCAGAATTACTCCTTGAATGATATTTTCCACCTTGAGCAAAGGACCAATTCCTGTGTCTTGACAAATAATTCATCGAAAACTATCAAAATTTGAGCACAAAGCTTGTAAAATTTGTATATTGTTGGTATGTAACTAGAACCAAAGTGGATGTACTGATAAAGAAAAAAAGACAGCCTGGACATGGCGATTTACACCCGAAATTATTAATTAACCAAGTTAGTTTCAGATGTTAACACCCATGTTCACAAGAGTATTACTGAAGGACTTTGACTTTTCTATTTAATATTTGTGTTAAACCATTGCTCGTGTTCTTCCAATATAAGTATCAACAATACCTTACTAGCATGTTTCAGTTTTTAGTCTTTTCAATTTATTTGATGTTTTACAGTGTTAAAGGTGAATGGCGGAGAAATTTTTTCTCAGGGGTTAATTGGATGACAAAGGTTATTTTAAAACTTATTTTTAATGATGAAAAATACAGGTCTACTGATTACATATCGGTATACTGTTTGGTTACTACCAGGAACTGTATTCATTCTCTTTAATTCCAAGCAGTATCGTTCCTAGATAACGGATGTTTTCTATTGATCATTTCAGCTTTAAACTGGTTTCTGAGAGTGACATTTGAATAATTGCATTATTTGCTTGGTTAACAATATAATATCAAGTAGTTTCCGTATAATAGCTAGAATTTATACATACATTAATGTCATCATATCAATCAATAGTATTTAATTATTCAACATTTTTATATTTTACTATTTTACGTTACAGTGAATATGAGTCACTTTGTAAGTAAATACTACACAGTACAGTGGAAGCACTCGTTTTAATTTATCCAACGAGGTTTTGAAATCAACGAAATCATTTGCAGAAGATTTATGACAGGGTAATAAATATAGTGGCGTAGTGGAGTTTAGAGGGCATTGTCATGGTGGGGGTGTTGAGGGTTTCTTGAAAATTTTCAAATTAGGAGGGCAAAGAATACATCTAACCCGATGATTTTGGAAGTGTAAGTAGATTAGACTGCCAACTGTCCGCAGTCTTGACCATAACTATAGCATGAAATTTGAATAGTGCAAAATGTAGAGGCAGTTCAAAGATGTTACATTAATTAAATCTTAAGTCATGGCTTGAGTACTCCAATATGAGTTATGAATTTGGAGTGATTTGGAGATTTCAATACCAGGTTTCTCAGTGTGATTGTAAAAAGTAAATAGAGCTTTATTACATTTTGAGACATTTCATAATTTTCCTGTGAAATAACTATATTTGTTATAGATCATGCTAAAAGAAAGGTTTTCTAATTCCAAATAGATAGAATGATAGATATGTTCGTATAAACGTATGTCTGGACTGTCATAATAAAATTTATAAGAGTTATTAGTTGAAATGGCGAAGGTTACAAGTTTGAATGAACTAGAATTAAAGAAATGCCAATAATTAACGTTTCCATAATGAAACAGTCTGGAATAAACAGAAAGGCTGACAAATAAACACATGATCTTCCTAATTCTCTTGATATTTTAGTTTAACAAAATTCTCATTAAAATTCATTTATATGTCTGGGATTTCAACGAAGTTTCTTATTGAAAGTGAAATTTCAATTATATACCTCAATGTGATGCTATTGTCTTATTAACGTGTATAAACTCACACGAATAAGTGCGTAACTAAGTGAAACACAAAAGGATTAAAATACTTTTAGTGCATTGGGACTAGTAGAAACATTCCAACCCGACCCGGGGGGCATTTTAGCATTGTATATTAATGCTGTATGAAATCAGTGATGCTTCAGACAGTGCTAGCGTAAAAACTGGACAAACAATGCCGTCCAAAAGCCTTTATCGCTGGCTTTCACACAAAATACAACAAACAATAGCATCTGGACTGGTGTTAAATTCTGGAATAGCTATAGATAGTTGAAATTGAAATCCGACGGATGGAAAAGCAAATAGTTACATAACTCAATTACTTAAAGACAGTCAGATTTGTCTGTACCAATATACTAAAAGGCCTTTGATTCTGACTATGAACTAAGAAAAATCTTAATCTATTATCTAAATATATAACAGAAAGGTCTTTGGGGACAGATTATATTGCATCTTTTGATAAAGTAATCCACTCCGACTTTGATCCTGAAGGTCTACTGAGAGCTAAACCCAGAATCTAGTGTCGATGTTGCACTTTGCGTGATTAAATGGCATGTTAAGATATTGACACTAAATAAATCCTTTCAGAATTTCTGACTGCTCATGTCTGTTGGAGTTTTCTTACGATGACGATGGCCTGCAATTATCATTCTGTGTGGAAGGTATATTGTGATAAGTGTCATCTTGGTCTTAATGATGCTTATAATTATTTCCTTTATTCCAGCTGATAGAATTTGATAATAGATAGCTGTTGGACATTTCGATTTCAATTGATATATATTATACAATACATTCTCAAAATCTGAACTTTCAAATTCAACGGTGGTGTTTCAATAGCAATTTCGATTGAGGAAACTTTGCACTAAATTTCTTTCTGGAGCCTAATGCGGAGTACTACAAACTGTGTAGGCTACAGGACTATGTTTCGATTAATATGTAAATATCCAGTCTAATCCAATCGATTTTCATTAAACTATTGAAGAAATGAATAATAACTTGAACCGTTTGATATGACAGTGAAAGAGTTCGTTTTTTATCTTACAGATACCGGTATGCCAGAAATACTTGAAGAAAGATGTGGACAGGGTCGTTACTATCAGCAACAATATTGGTTGTTATGACAACCACAAGCTGTAACGGTAGGTAGAATCTTGCTATTGTCTAGCTACAATAAAACTATATCCGGTTTGTTGGAAGAGATTTCGAGAGAAATTTAAGATTGTGCCAAGTGGTTTTACGAAGCTTAACATTGTTCATTAAAACATTAAGAAGGAAAAACGTTCAGGTTAATGGAAGTAGAAAATTTCTAGGGTTATCATCAACATCACGATGAACATTGAAGTAATCAAATGTTATTGGCCTATATATCAACGATGCTTTCTCACATGAAAATTGTCGATTGCATACAACTTAATTCTGTTGTGACAAATTGATGTCCAAAATTTAAATATCGAGTGTAATTTGCTTGAAAATGCATGTAATTTGGTCAAATTGGCCTATTTCCCTCAAACTATGACTCTGAAAACTTGAAGAATGAATGTAATTGTTATGAAATATAACTGATTTTGTAACTGCATATAAAAAACCTGTCATAGTATAAAGTTCTATCTACAGAATAGAATCACATTAATTCAAATAGGTTTTTTCCCAGTGCCTTTTTATCTGGTTTCCTTCAAATCATTATTCGTTTTCATTGCCTGTAAATTTCTCCTATATCACGTCCGCAAATCACATCAATCTCATTTACTTGTAGAGTTTTTAAGCCATTTTGTTCTTCTTTAACCATTTGATGGCATCCATATTCATTAGCTGTTTCAGTAATCAAAGATAGAATCATCTAATGGTTTTAGGAGATTTTTTCTGAGTAGAGAATGATCTTGCACGTAAAATTCTTAGTTTCATAAAGTACATGGACGTTTTCTGGCCTCCCCTCCATGACATCCATGTTTTTGGTTTGCTTCACAATGTAACTGCACGACAAAGTTAAGTCGTAAATAAATACACCTTAAAGACAAAACTAGTTGAAATTTCACAACATCTTAGAATTGTTTACAGAGTGCAGAATGGATTTGCATACATAACATGAAATTTAGAACTTGACATTCTCACCAGGATGATTAGAAGAACCTTAATTACAAGGAGACAAATAAACGTGAATGCAGTGCTCGACTCTTGTGTTATTGTTATTAGCTCTTTAAAATCACACGTATTGATTATTATTCTTTACATTATTATTCAAGAGACTTCAAGTTTAATTCGCCTTCTATAAGACTAGACGTGGGATATGGATTTATTTCCGATTTCATTGATTCTTATACATCTTTCAATAACTACTCCCTGGGTTACAAGTAGATATTTCCGTTAAAGTAGCCCCAGGAAGCATTTTATATAAATGGTATTATTAGGTCAAGTATCAGAGTTTTTGGGAATTCAGATAGTTCCTTGGTACTTCCACTGACATAGATCGACATAATACCCGAGGGTTTTTTTAACCGGTTTCCCTCTCCATGTTGATGCAGTTCGCAGGCTGTGACAATGAAATGGAAAAAGCGTTAATGAGACAATAAACGGAATCACCGTGTTCTATTATAGATCGCTTGATAAAAAGTAAGCTTATGCTGCTGCCCTGTGTCTTCAGTGGTTCACGCTGTACATGAAAAGTAGGACGAATAATTTTTTTTTATTTCAATATCCAGCCCAGTTTTCTCTTGTCTTGAATAGTGGAAAAGTGTTTCTTTCATCTTATCAAGAATTTAGCCACAACAGCATAGAAATTTGACATAACAGTGATGATGCATTTCTGCTTTTAGAAAAACTGTTAATCAACACTTTCGAAATGGGGGGAAAATCATTTTCGTATTAATGCTTGCTATATTGCAGCTGTAATCTGTTGACATTCTCAATTGTTGTTCCCGACAATTTATTGTTTTACTTGTGAAATCGATGTCCAAGTTAAATTTCAAAGACAACACATTAACACAATGATTTGAAAGTTTTACATCTATTTATAAAAGCACCTTGAACAGCTCGGTTGTTGTGTGGCATTGTACTAAACCATCACGCAGGAAGTGAATTAGTCCGACGCAGAGCAGAACGTAATATATGGATTACATTACATGCAAGCGTATTTAGATAGTTCTGTATACCCTCGATGTTAATTATGTGTCACTTTTATTTAAACAATGTGAGGCAAATGGTCTTCAACTTGTTTCAGCACAATGTGTCATTATACTTCAGTTTATTGTCTTTTTAGCACCGTGACCTTTCAGTAACATTAATGATGTGAAAGAGTCATATTGATAAATCATAAAAACAACTATAAGCTCTGAAACTCTTGGCCTTGATATATACCGAGGATTTATTTAACAGCTGATTTTTCCATTGTTGTAACGAATAATACATTTTCTTTTTTTATAGACTGGCTTTGTTGACTTTTTCTAATTCATTCCTGTGGCAAAATTTTATAATCGTTTATTCATTAATCTACCTCAAATGTTTTCAAACAAAACTTAATTCCACGTGTAAATGTGTGACATTACTTAATGTCATTAAATAAGGGAATGAGCCTCGTCCCTTTGAACCAGCTATTCGGCATTTCCCCCCGAAATGATAAGACACAGCTTTCAACCACGATCTCGTATGATTTTTTAGATAAATTATATTTCAGATGATCTCAAAACATCACCCATTGAAGGTATTTATAACAAGTGAAAGGTTGTTTTCTATAGTGAAGGGGTGAAGGGTTATTTATCATTTTATTAATATTCGAAAATGTTTTATGCACGTTGCCGTTCAATTCAAGTACCATCTTGTACTTATTATACATTGTTTTCTTCTTTGGTTTGTGGCTTCCTTTTGAAGTTTAAGATTATGCTTATCGATTTTTGTGATGGGTTTCCTGCCATATGGGCATATTCAACGTTTTACATGTCTATTATATAATGGAGCATGGAGGCTTTCTTATATTATGTCAAAAGAATATTTGACTCATGTATGTGGAGATGGTTTAATACCTTTACATATTAAATGGAATGATTGGTTATATACGGGGTGTGTCAGAAAAATTTCAAGACTGGGTTCACAACAGATTTATTTCGGATCAAAACTACGAGTTTGCGGCCGTCTTGATATCGCCCACATCCTTAAAATAGGTCCCCTTGATGAAATCAGTCCCACAATAATGTTTAATTGTCTTGTCCTATGATACAGGCTCGCGGTAGTTTGTATCTGAAACAAATAGTTTTATTACACCAGTCCTGGAACTTTTCTGACATTCTGACTGTTATTATAGTTACATATCAAAGTTAAGTTATATCGAGAAGATAGGGTACCACTAATTTATAATAAGAGAATCAAGCAAGCGGTTCAATCAAAAGCAATCTCACGTTGTATTCAGTGGCTCAGTTACCATAAGAACTGGTTGAACCAAGTCCACAGGCTCCTACCCTCAGAAATAAAATAATAACAGACTTTAAATTCAATTACAGAGGTCTCCATAAGTGCACGAGAGCATATGTTAAAAGTACGATTCATTTAATTTATAGATAGATCCTGTATCTTTGAAAAACCATTCAGAACAATTAACAGTTGCTAGTGGACATTTGTAATAACTCAGTCTCGTCTTGACAGGTTCATATTTGAAATATTACCCCTTGTGAGAAGTCAAAAGTCTGTGAACAAAAGATTTATGATATAACTTTGACCAAAAACGTCCGTTTCTGGTTTTGGTGATGTTCGACCTATAATTTGTATTTTTTTGTTATCTATTTTCAGCCTTCCTGTGTAAATGGTCAAATGAAGGTTGTTCAAAAGACGATGAATGTTGTAGTGGAACTTGTGAACGGAGTCATCCGGGAATGAATAAACGTTGTACAAAGAGTGTTTTACATGATCCCTGTCTGTTTACATACCATTGTCAAAGTAGACTACATTGTGGAGCGAAAAATCGGTGTTGTTCGAAATACTGGGGAATATGTCGACTACCGACCGACTGTTGTGACACATCTTTCTTATGTATAAATGTGAAAGGATTTCATTATCAACGGTGTTTACCGAGTCCAGTAGATGGTTGTGCTATCAAACAAAATATTTCTACATTTATCAGTGTTTTTACATCACTTTATTTATCTTATTTTCACCTTTTCTAATCTTTGAATTATAACCAATGCAAAGCTCACCATTTTCCGTACTTTATTTTCTATGATTGATTAATAAAATACATGTTCTTAAGTCGTATTTCTTAAGCAAATCTTTGGGAAATGTTTTAACCAATTCTTTCGAAACGTACTATTCAGGTACAACCGGTTTTAAAGCAAAATTGTGGATGGCGGAAAGTTGAAAATGCGAAAAGATGGGTATGTAACTAACCTGAACTCCCTTAAAACCTATTGATTCTTCATGCTTGTAGGGGGCAACCTGTCGTTCGGTTGGGAACATTGGATAAACAATATGAGTGGGGGCAAGTAGACCCCAGGGATTTTTTTGAACATATACTCTCCTGCATTTTTTCCTGAGGTGGGGCCCGTGGTCTTGGTTCAAGCAGTCCCTGTGGTAGTTATCAATGGCCGGAACAGGTGCAGAGAAGTAGGTCGAATTTCTATACCAATCCATATACCAACTGACATACAACTAATATTTAATATAAGTATAAATATAATCTTCGACGTCAAAAGGACCAAGCTTTGTAATACTAGGCAATATAATTTGGTAGAAAAGCTCTATTCACAATAAAGCTGCAACCAATTGCCATAAATCATTCATATTCTTGTTTTTCGTCTGTAATAGCCCTTGGACTAACAGGAAATTTATCACCCATTTCCACTTATTATTTGTGACATTTCAATTTACTCGACTAATTGTTTTTCTTTTTTTTATTCATATAACTGTCTGAGTCCGCTTACATTACTTATCACGGAGCAAAGAGTTGCGTCCCTTGAAAGTTGAAAAAGTCGTTCAGTTCAATAATCGAAATTGTTAACTCATAAAATTTAGTTCAGCAGCTTAGTATGAGAATAGTGTGTAAAGTTCGCTTTCTTTCTACATGTATATTAATCACTAGGGGTTGAATTAAAATTCTTGGAATTATTTTAATTGGTAAATATCAATATACAAATCTATATACACGAGTCTTATCGATTAGGCCTATTACAAATCAATATAAGAGGTAACATAAAACAAAAAACAATAACAGGGAAAGTTGCATTAAACTCAATCTAATTTTAAAAACTGTCAATTCTAGGTTATCAAACTACTTTCTAATTTATTAAACAATTTTATTACAACTTTAATCAAATTATTTTACAATAATAACCATTATCTTACGATTAAATATTGAATATTTATATCTAATTTATCACAGTCAGATACAATAAAATTATATACATTTAATATTTTTTCCCGATTCAAAAAAGAGTAGGCCCTACAGCTACTTCCCGAGGACCATTTAGATTGATCGTTTTGATGTATCCTTCGGGACTACATTACATACCAAGGGATCTAAAAATGGTAAACAAAATGAAGCAAACTAGGCCTAGATATAGTTTTGTGATCAAATTTAAATCGAATCGAAATAGTTGGATGAAATTGCACACCAGAGAATCTTATCTTGCCTTAAAAGCACTTTCTGTGAACAATTCCAGGGCCACATTCATCATATTCCTCTTTTGTAATCCACATTTGACTAAATGTTGATAAGGAGGCCAAAATTGATCCACCAATCCAAACAGAGTATTTTCTTTCAGGAGGGGCGATAACTTTACATTTAATTGTATTAGCAGCCAATGACGATACTTCTTTCATCATTCTGTCAGCTATACCTGAAGCAGAATTGAAAATGTAAGACACAGAGTAGCAAACATTTAATCACTTTTCATTTAATCTACTTAGAAGCCTTGAAGTGTCAGTATTACTTTTAAAGTAACGTCGTGTCTGATGTGGAGGTGATGGCTTTGATGAACTTATGACGGATCTGCGCTATGTGACTTTGAGATAGTAAAGGTGTTTCGAGTATATTGTACATGTGATATTGATGACTTTGATTGTTTTATACAGGATCATTTGTTGTTTGACTCTGAAGTGGTATAATTATAAATAACTTACCAGGAAACATAGTAGAACCACCAGAAAGAACAATATTACTATATAAATCTCGTCTAATATCAATATCACAATTCATTATAGAATTATTCAACATTTCATGAACGCCGACATTTTCCTTTCCTAAAAAAAATTTAAAGCATGTTACATTTGTATATGAATACGATGTATTTGTTTTTAAATGGATAGGGACAAAGGTAAAAAAGGCATAGAAATATGACTGGAAGTACTTAAAAGACCAAAGATAGCGATGCTTCGGAACACAGACACAAATGATCCGAATATATAACAGTGCGACTGACTTAATTAAGTACTGAAATTGATGACGATAAATGGTATTACCTATAAAAGCAGGTTGAAAGAGTATTTCAGGACAGCGGAATCTCTCGTTACCAATAGTTATAACTGAACCATCAGGTAATTCATAACTCTTCTCTAAACTTGAAGATTTAGCTGCTGTTTCCATTTCAGCTTCAAAATCCAAAGCTGAATAACATATCTTCTCTTTAATATCTCTCACAATTTCACTTTCAGCTGAACAAAAAAAAAATAGAATTTTACAAAAGATCCTAATGACAAATAATGATATTGATAGTAACTTGGATAAATTGGTTATTATAATAATATACATGTACCACCAAAATAAAGGAATCAACAGTATCTTCCACTAGAGTCTTCAGTAATCATTATCAGTTACTAGCATGTTTGATGCTGTGAACGTTATCGTGGTTTGATGAACGCCTTTGATCGTATCTTAACATTTCAATACAAAACATGTATTTTCTTTAGATGTAGAGCGAATTGGAAGTATGCAGGAATATAATTTATTTGTACAAACTACATGCTGATATAAGAAAATGAATATATCAAAAAACTTACAAGCAGTAGTAAAATTATATCCACGTTCATGTAAAATACGTTGTAGATAATGAGTCAAATCTCGTCCAGCTAAATCTGCTCTTTTGATAGCATGAGGTAAGGCATAACCTATAAAACAAAAAATAATACTATATGTTTAACTATTTCGTTAATATAGTAACTTTTACTGTTTAAATATTCAAAATAGCTTACAAGGCAAGAAAATAGACGTCTAATTGCAGCGGTCAGAAATGAAACCATCTGATTAACGTTTTCCAATGAGTTACAAAGTTCTCGCCATAATCATTTTTCATTCTGACCATTTCAATATATTGTCTAGATGTTAGCATCAACGATTTATTTCGTCGTTTTTTCTACCTAAATATTACAACTTCATATTAACCTTCATATATAGGTACGACATGAGATACACCATCACCAGAATCATAAACAATACCAGTTGTTCTACCAGAGGCATATAATGATAATACAGCTTGTATACCAACATAGAAAGCTGGGGTGTTGAATGTTTCAAACATAATCTGAAACAATCCAATATAGAATCATATGTTCAAATATTCAGATATATTGTTATAAAGTTGCAATATTCATTAGCTCAGAGATCTACATCTGAAATTTGTTACACATTTGTATTTGTGTATTTTATTACTTACCAAATTTTCCGATTAAGAATCTTTAGGGAATGTTAAATAACATAAAGAATGGAATTTATTTGAATGTGATAGTAGCCTTTTATTGTCTTATTAAAATTAGGTTGTATAATGACCTTGGGTGTTCTGGATGGTAATTGGTTAATAGGCTCTGCAATATTTAAGCCTCATTAATTCGAGACAGAGAGCACTTAAAATGCAGTCTCACGATACTATTCTAGTTGTGCAGTCGAATTTAGCAAAGTGTCTATCAGTATGCCAACCTTGCTCGTTATAGGACATAAATCCATATTCTAATTTTAAAGGAACTAACCTGTGTCATTTTTTCTCTGTTAGCTTTAGGATTTAAAGGAGCTTCGGTTAATAAAACAGGATGTTCCTCGGGAGCTACTCGTAATTCATTATAGAAAGTATGGTGCCAAATTTTCTCCATATCGTCCCAGTTAGTAACAATACCATGTTCTACTGGGTAATGTAAAGCTAGCATTCCTCGTTTACTCTGAGCCTCATCACCAACATAGCAGTCTTTATTACCCATTCCTACCATTACAGCCTAGTAAATATCAATTTACTTTCATTAAAGATCAACTATTTTTCTGAACTTTTGTTCTAATAAATAAGTTGTGGACAAGTATTGATATGATTAATAGATCTTTAAAGAATATTTTTTGAAAATCAGTATGAAATAATATATGAACATTTTGTTCAGGATTCCAATCGTTAAGACCAATTTCGCAAACATCCTTTTTACAGAATTTCCTCGAAATTAATTTTGGTTGATAAAACATTTAGTATTAAAGATAAGTGACTGTTTGTAAAATGGAAGAAAAAAAATTTTAATCTGATGTTTGTAAATTAGTTGGTAAAAGCTAAAAAGATGTCTACCTGGTATTTGGGTCTGCCTGTTAATGCAGGAAATACTGCTCGCGGTGCATCATCACCAGCAAAACCTGCCTTACACATTCCTGATCCATTGTCTACTACTAGAGCAGCAATATCATTATCAAAGTGGGATGTCATTTTTAATTTGTAAATAGACTGCAAATATATAAAGCAACGTATAGCAAATTAAACTGCGTATTGTTCAAGCATATTCTTAAATATGGAATAATATTTCAAATCAATATATTTTGACTACTAGAAAAAAAATTGCAAATCAAATTTATGCTATGCGAGCTTATTAAAAGAAAAATAATTGCAAAATAGATTTTTGAAATAAGTAGGCCTATATTGCTTACCTTTCAGTAAGGTTTGATATTCCTTTGAAGCTTACAAATTGTTTTGAATCTTCGTCGAAAAAACTGCAAATATATAGGAGTCTACACAATTTCCTAGAAATGGCTCCAATATACTCAATTCGCCATATATGGTATTATTATATCCGCAAAAGGCGCCGTATAAAACAATATAATCACCTTTTCCAAGAAGAGGGATGTCCTGTGTTACTATTAATAGATATTGATTAGTAGACATGGTTTAGTCAAGACTATTTTTACCTCAAATAGTAATGCATTGATATAAATAATAATATTATACACCTTGACCCTTTTATACCTGTACTATATTAGGTAGGTTACTAACTGATTCTATTAGGGTAGAACAAACGCCCGATAACATAAGGGTGGAGGGGTAAGATTACTAAAAATGGACCAGAATATATAATATCCATTGCTATTCAGATATATCTACACAGTGGAAATAATTTAAGCCCAAAGAGGTATATCTCTAGAGTGATTGTAAAAATACCAATATTTGGTTAAAAATTGACCACCTTTTCATGTGTTCCTATACTATGATAAGACACCATTAAGTTATATATTGTAAGGAGAATATGAAATATACGTGGAAATCAAATAAAACTAAGATTTAAAAAAGAGTTTAAGATGTACCTTAACTTTATTGTTTCAACCCTTATTATGTTAACGCTCTCCAAATGCAATCGACAATTTTACAGCATAGTTACATTTTGATTAGCTTACCATGGACGAAACAATTTTATTTCTCCAAAATTAGACCGAAATAGGCTTATAGTCTAGAAGTCATCATCATGTTCGGATTTTATTGATATTGCTTTTCTATATCGGGTATGTGTGTGCATAATATTTATATAGAGTATAAAGTAATTTTGTATATTATTGTTTTACTATATTTGGTAACTGAATATTTCCGCTACGATTATACCTTATTTGGTTAGATATTAAAGCACTTTTTCGCAACTGTTTCTTAAGTCCAAATATGGTAATACTAATGGAAAGATGAAAATTGATTTCCAATAAATAATTTATGCCGTTCTACTGATGAATCATTGTTTTAAAATGATTTAGGCTTAAATATCGAAACTCTGAAGATATTTGTACTCGATCACATACTAATAGGCCTATGTCTCTAATGGTTTAAGCTCTTGGGTTCATATTCAAAGACTTTACTGGATTTTAGCTCTATTAAATTAAGTACTGTGGCAGGTTTCGTCAGCTCTGTGACTGAGTTTGTCAGCATCCCTTTCGGAAATTCCATATACATATAGCTGATATTGTTTACTTGATTTACATATTGTTTTCTTATACAGGTAGTATACATATTATTACAGACTTTCCTAAGTAAAAAAAATCTGCTGTTTTGAAATCTAGACTTGTATTTCCAAAGTGCATTGTGTGTTCATTAATTCCCGAACGACAGGTGCATGGTTGTTGCTGAAAGAGGACAAAAAACACCCAGATTATCTGGATGGTATCTGATGTTCGCAGATTTGTTGGTAAAAAATTTGATTTTGAAAGATTATGTAACGGGATTTAACTTAACAGATTCATAAAGTTTGTATTATTGATGAGATTCCTCGCTTCCTAAGGAATATGTTTATTACCTTCGACTTTTTTCCACAAATTTTGAGTTTAATACAATCTAATTGAAATCAGATTACAATTTCGTATCTATCTTGTTTTCTCATATTTTAGTCTTCATAGTAATCTATCAAAGGCCTGTCCCAATGATTTTATTTTTAACCAATAAAAGCGTGTAAAACCCGTTTCTAGTAAAATAAAGAATTGTAGGATAGCCACAATTATATGGATAATAACTAGGCCTACTTTAAAGGGACAGATGCGCCATGTTTGACCAATCATACCTTAGTCTCAGAAACGGGAATTTTTAAGCTAAGCCAATCAGTTATAGCTCACCCTCGAAATTAGAGCCTTCAAATCCATTTGTGTCCAGAATTATCCGAGTTTGGAAGTTGAAAAGACGACTCGACACTGTTATATATAGTAAATATATCTATAGAAATATGAAAAGAAATTCATAGTTTGAGATATTTTTGAAGGAATTATGTGATTCTAGCACTGAAGACTATTTACATACATTCAAAACCCAAATCAACCCCCCTAAATGGCTCACCTGTCCCTGTTGGCAAGTCGAAATTAGTATATGCAATTATACAATAAAATACCATTTTTATGACAAGAACACTGACTGTTGGCGAACTAGAGAAGCGCAACTGCACCAAATTAATGCATTATGTTCGCATATCCAACATCATCGCGAATTTTAGTAGCTGTAGGTTGAGAGTACTAACTTTCGTTGCTGATAGGTCAATAACAATTTCTTTTTCCATACCAAAAAGAAATCCTTAACATTTGGCAGTAATGATCAGTATGGGGTATGGAAAGATACAATAATAAAATCAGTTTTAACTTTTTATTTGATATTTTATTGAAATGTACTATTTATTTTTCTGTTAGTTTTAAACCATCTCTTTTCATTGATGAGCAGGGTGCCTGTCAAAAGGTATCGAATTATTATCAAACTCATATAATTATATAATTATTAGATGACACCCCTTTAACATGCTCGAAAATCGGCGGCATAGCAACAGTAGTCGGTGTTAGGCAGAAATTGTAGGCCTATATGTAATGCAACGTGTTTAATATTCATGCTTAATAAAGATGATTTTTAACACAGTCAGAATTTACCCGTAAGATTATTATAGAATTAATCTATTAAAAGTAGTGTGAATATTGCACATTTTAAGAATACTAGCTACAAACTATTTGAGAATGGTTTGTTAAATCGTTCCAGATATAAATGGCAAAATTCCTTGACTAATGAGCCTTTTATTTGTATTTAATTTATTATTTATGTATTTAATTAATTATCTCCTAATCATTCAATTCTCATGTTCTAAAAAAACCAATTATATTACAATATTATGCATGAATATTCTTGTTTGCGCACCATTCTCAATTTGTCAAACAGCCTTCTGATTCTAAATTATAAAATATTCAGAAATACTGGATATGAATACTTACTCTAAACAATATCATGTACATGAGGTATATCATCATCAGTCATGGTATGTTCAGGAGTTCATCGGTTCCTCTGCGGTGCAGAATAATTTTGTTGAGTTGTCTTGAGTTGTCCTTTCCAAAAAAAAAAATGGAATTAAGAACTGACATTCAGCATACTGATAAAACTATCAAAAATAATGCAGTTGCTAACATCTTCATTTTGGTTTTTGATTGTTGAGTGAAATTCTATTAAAGATTTCTGACTTTTATAGTGTAGAATTTCAATAAATAAAAATTAAACAGGTTAATTAGTGAAATAGGTGATGCAAGATTTCAATGTTGTACTTTTTTTTATGTTGGATGCTATTTTATACGCACACATATTTTATTGTCGCTCCTACCCGTCCGTATGTTAACAGGTAAAGACTGCCGTTTTGATCTGATTTTATTGAAACTTAGTATATTTGCCTATATTAATGAGTGTATTCCGATGTTTTGGTGAAATCTAGAATGAGCTTGATCATGATTTTTGAGGAATGAATTTTGAGATATTTTCCTAACTTATCCTAACTTGAGGAAACGTTGTATGCTCCTATGTCATGAGACCTTGGATACATATTGGTAAAAACTAATTCTGAATTGATGATCGTACAAAATTACCTGATGTTCTTACATAACCGAAAATGTCACGGGGATTAGTCTTGTTTGATCATCAACGCCTGTGGATCTACTTACTAATCTCCAGTGTGGACTTTGGTCCCAAAGGAGCACTCTTGATCATGTTGTTAGGTTTGAATCTTTTGTCAGAAATGCCTTCATCCAAAATACACAACTTGTAGCTATATGATACCACTTGGGGATATGGCATTCTCCGTGATTTCCTTGACTTTGTTCTCAGAGGAAGATTGCCATCATTTATCTCCAATTTTCTACATGATAGGACATTTAGATACGACCTGTCTCCATTTTTCAGATCCTGTTCCTCGGGATAATAGATTTCCTCAGGGTAAAATATTACTGACGATCGAACGTCAATTGCAGCTTTGAACAAACTAAAGAAATGGGCAATTGACAATGGATTTCGATTTATCGAATTTCGAGACCGTCTGCATGGATTTCTTAAAAGAGGAGGTTTGAACCTTTGCTCAGTGCTATGTTTGGACGGTGCTGTCATTCCAATTGTACAGAAAGCTTTCTTTTCCTCGAAACCAAATATCTTAAATGTTTTATTCATAGAATAAATACCAAAACATACTTGTATTCAAATACCGTGAATTTATATAAATTTGAAATTCCGTAACTTATTATTTTACAATATTTAAAAAATCTTAATAAAAACGTTAACATAAATTATGCATAATTAAATTTGTCCATATGTTACTATAAGGGATGTTGATTTGGGCGTATTTGCCAGACATGACACAAATACTCTGGACACCCATAGATTTGAAGGCTCAAATTTCGACGGTGGGCTGTGTACACTAGGCTATTACTGATTAGTTCAGCTAAAAAATTACAGTTTCCAATGTACGATTGGTCAAACAGATGGCGAACCTGTCCGTCTCTTTAAAGCCTAAAACATTTTAAAGATGAGTTTCCTTATTTTTTTAGTGTCAAATTAAGCAAACTTTGTGATTAATTAATATTTCTAATGAATTACCTTGTATACTTAATCAAATCATTATGTTCTTATTGTATATAATTGAGAGTTTTAACCGATCATAAATGTCCATGTATGTACAGTCTGAATAAACAAAAAATATTTTTTGATCGGTCACTCATTGGAATTCGGCTGGTAATTTTCTTCTAATTTAGCTAATTATGAATTAATTATGGACATGTGAGATAAACTGGTATTTTTGTCATTACAACACCTCCACTTTCTATTCATATAAGTATTAGCATTTTAATTTTCTTAAATTAAAATAAGGGAACCCATCTTTAAACAATGGTTATTTAAATAAAATGGCACTATGACTACTTCTTTGAAATCCATTAATTTTTATCTCTCCATTAGTATTACCATATTTGGACTTAAGAGAAACATAAGAGAATGTACTTATATACCTAACTATATAGGTATAATCGTTGCAGAGCAGAAATACTCAAGTTACCAAATATAGTAAAACAATGATATACAAAATTACTTTATACTATAAATATATATTGAAAGGCATGTCAATAAAATCCACACAATAGATATTATGACATCGTTAATTTTGCATAAGTTAATTGCTTTCTATCACGCATATCATGCGCAAGCTGTTAATGTTACTCCAGAAGAACAAACATCAAATCCCAAATCCATGGAGAGCTATAAGTGTCTCCGATGCACATACGTTTTTAGTGCCATTGCTTAAAGTGTACATTCCATATTTTGGCTCTCCTTATATCAGTAAAGTGTGTGAATTTGAGCAATAAATATTTAAATGAAAACTGATTTATCCAAAATCATGTTGAAATGGATCAATGTCTCCTATCGGTATGAATCTCCACTGTGTAGATATATTTGAGTATACAATGGATATTATATATATACTGGTCCATTTTTAGGTCATCGGGCGTTTGTTCTACCCTAATAGAATCAGTTAGTAACCTACCTAATATAGTACAGGTATAAAAGGGTCAAGGTGTATAATATTATTATTTATATCAATGCATTACTATTTGAGGTAAAAATAGTCTTGACTAAACCATGTCTACTAATCAATATCTATTAATAGTAACACAGGACATCCCTCTTCTTGGAAAAGGCGATTATATTGTTTTATACGGCGCCTTTTGCGGATATAATAATACCATATATGGCGAATTGAGTATATTGGAATCATTTCTAGGAAATTGTGTAGACTCCTATATATTTGCAGTTTTTTCGATGAAGTTTCAAAACATTTTGGAAGCTTCAAAGGAATATCAAACCTTACTGAAAGGTAAACAATATACTTAAATTAATTAAAGTTAGAACAATGTAAATTTAATTTGCATTTTTTTCAAGAAAGTTAGTACAACTTAAATTTATTCTACAGATATTTGCGATTAGTTTCCTTTTATTTGCAAAGTAGTCAAAATATATTTAAATTTATGCTTGAACAACGCGCAGTTTAATTTGCTATACAATGTTTTATATATTTGCAGGCTGTATACAAATAAAAATTCACACGAAAATGACATCCCACTTTGATGATGATATTGCTGCTCTAGTAGTAGACAATGGATCAGGAATGTGTAAAGCAGGTTTTGCTGGTGATGATGCACCGCGAGCAGTATTTCCTGCATTAACAGGCAGACCCAAATACCAGGTAGACATCTTTTTAGCTTTTACTAACTAATTTACAAACATTTTTAATAAGTGATTTTACAATCCTAAGAATAATTTCTATTAAATATATCGATACTGACTTGTCCACAACTTCTATCCTATATATTAGGGGAAGGAGAAGAAATGTAAATGTTGATCTTTAATGACAGCAAATTACTTCTATAGGCTGTAATGGTAGGAATGGGTAATAAAGACTGCTATGTTGGTGATGAGGCTCAGAGTAAACGAGGAATGCTAGCTTTACATTACCCAGTAGAACATGGTATTGTTACTAACTGGGACGATATGGAGAAAATTTGGCACCATACTTTCTATAATGAATTACGAGTAGCTCCCGAGGAACATCCTGTTTTATTAACCGAAGCTCCTTTAAATCCTAAAGCTAACAGAGAAAAAATGACACAGGTTAGTTCCTTTAAAATTAGAATATGGATTTATGTCCTATAACCATACCAATTGAATTACTTTTATATGTAAATCTTCAAATGTTGCAAATTTTGTGTCATAAAGACGGAATGTGTAAAGGAGACGTATTTCAGACGTAGTTCTGAATCCCCATAGTAGACATACACGTGGCTGTATGTTGTAATGCAATGTTGATCTTCTGATTCTATATTGGCTTGTTTCAGATTATGTTTGAAACATTCAACACCCCAGCTTTCTATGTTGGTATACAAGCTGTATTATCATTATATGCCTCTGGTAGAACAACTGGTATTGTTTATGATTCTGGTGATGGTGTATCTCATGTCGTACCTATATATGAAGGTTAATATGAAGTTGTAATATTTAGGTAGAAAAAACGACGAAATAAATCATTGATCCTAACATCTAGACAATATATTGAAATGGTCAGAATGAAAAATGATTATGGCGAGAACTTTGTAACTCTTTGGAAAACGTTAATCAGATGGTTTCATTTCTGACCGCTGCAATTAGACGTCTATTTTCTTGCCTTGTAAGCTATTTTGAATATTTAAACAGTAAAAGTTACTATATTAACGAAATAGTTAAACATATAGTATTATTTTTTGTTTTATAGGTTATGCCTTACCTCATGCTATCAAAAGAGCAGATTTAGCTGGACGAGATTTGACTCATTATCTACAACGTATTTTACATGAACGTGGATATAATTTTACTACTGCTTGTAAGTTTTTTGATATATTCATTTTCTTATATCAGCTTGTAGTTTGTACAGTTAAATTATATTCCTGCATACTTCCAATTCGCTCTACATCCAAAGAAAATACATGTTTTGTATTGAAATGTTAAGATACGATCAAAGGCGTTCATCAAACCACGATAACGTTCACAGCATCAAACATGCTAGTAACTGATAATGATTACTGAAGACTCTAGTGGAAGATACTGTTGATTCCTTTATTTTGGTGGTACATGTATATTATTATAATAACCAATTTATCCAAGTTACTATCAATATCATTATTTGTCATAGGATCTTTTGTAAAATTCTATTTTTTTTTTTTGTTCAGCTGAGAGTGAAATTGTGAGAGATATTAAAGAGAAGATATGTTATTCAGCTTTGGATTTTGAAGCTGAAATGGAAACAGCAGCTAAATCTTCAAGTTTAGAGAAGAGTTATGAATTACCTGATGGTTCAGTTATAACTATTGGTAACGAGAGATTCCGCTGTCCTGAAATACTCTTTCAACCTGCTTTTATAGGTAATACCATTTATCGTCATCAATTACAGTACTTAACTAAGTCAGTCGTACTGTAATAACTCGCGGTATACCGTCTTTGGTCGTTTAGGCCCTTCAAGACAATGATCAAGTCTTTCATTGCCTTTATAAAAGACCCGTTCCATGTAAAGATATTTGCTTATTATGCATTCAATGGTGTTAAATATTGTTTTAATGTATTTGTAACATGAGTTAAAGTTTTTTTAGGAAAGGAAAATGTCGGCGTTCATGAAATGTTGAATAATTCTATAATGAATTGTGATATTGATATTAGACGAGATTTATATAGTAATATTGTTCTTTCTGGTGGTTCTACTATGTTTCCTGGTAAGTTATTTATAATTATACCACTTCAGAGTCAAACAACAAATGATCCTGTATAAAACAATCAAAGTCATCAATATCACATGTACAATATACTCGAAACACTTTTACTATCTCAAAGTCACATAGCGCAGATCCGTCATAAGTTCATCAAAGCCATCACCTCCACATCAGACACGACGTTACATTAAAAGTAATACTGACACTTCAAGGCTTCTAAGTGGATTAAATGAAAAATGATTAAATGTTTGCTATTCTGTGTCTTACATTTTCAATTCTGCTTCAGGTATAGCTGACAGAATGATGAAAGAAGTATCGTCATTGGCTGCTAATACAATTAAATGTAAAGTTATCGCCCCTCCTGAAAGAAAATACTCTGTTTGGATTGGTGGATCAATTTTGGCCTCCTTATCAACATTTAGTCAAATGTGGATTACAAAAGAGGAATATGATGAATGTGGCCCTGGAATTGTTCACAGAAAGTGCTTTTAAGGCAAAATAAGTCTCTTTGGTGTGCAATGTCAAATATTTCGATTTGAACTTTGATCACAACTCTTAAGTTAGCCTAGTTTGCTTCATTGTTTCAATCGATTTAAAGCTCTTTTTTATGTTTTTATAAATAGAAAAATCGTCCGGCAAGAATATATCAAAATGATCAACCTCAATAGTCCTGTTTTATGAATGCATTGAGGTATCTTTATGAAAACACTTTAATCGGAAGTTTAATTGTGTGATTTTTTATATTATATATCGGTACATATATTGTGTATATAAATTTATGAAATATTTTCACTGTTATATAATATATAATTATGTTTATGTTAACAACTGTAGTTCAGTCTACCTGTTGTAACTTACTGTGATATATTTGATACGAACACGTTATATAATAATTGTATTATAAATAGAATAAATATAATAAAATTACTTGTTAAAATTTTTTAAGAAACTTGTTTGTTTTTATTAATTGTTGGCTTATCTTAATGCACCACTACTGTCTTAATAAGCACATAATTATCTTACACTGACCTAATACTAATGTTCTTTTTATTGCCCTCTCTTAGTTTCTTAACTGAACTGAACTGACTGGACCTTGTCACCTTCTGTCATTGGCCGGCTTAGTGAGTTATCAGCGAGTTTCAGTCAGATACTTTACTTTTTTTTATCTTGGTCTTTGAAGTAGAAGGAAAGTTTATTTCAACCTTTGTGAAATAATTAATCTTATGGAGGGGGATCGTTGCCAGAAGCATTTACAAAGTCAAACTTGAAAACAAGGCCTCGACTTTACAAATTCATATTTCAACATTACACAATTACAAAATAAACCTTCCTAAAGTCAAAAAGTCAATGTACTAATTACAAAGTAGAGATATTGATAGTTTACTTTTCAAACTTTATTTCACATCAGACACCATTCAAACTTTCCTTTGCGAAAATGAATTCTTAACTTTGCATTATTGACATTATCAACTATGTCTTCTTGACTTTGCATTCGTGAAAGATGTAAGTTCGACCACTGTATTCTTGGGAGTTGTAAAGTCAACTTCTGCATTGAATAAGAAATGAATTACAAATTTTTCGTTTTCTGATTTAATTACAACAATTACAATACAAGTAATGACGAAGTGTCAATTGACCAATGCCGCATTTGAACATCCGGTTTTGAGGCTTATTTAGAGTTAAATCCCTTTGAAAAGGAGCAATTATTAATTTATATTTCCGTTAGTTTCAGTGAATTTCCGCATTATGTAAATGAAGTGGGTCACGTTACCTTATATGGTAAATGTTCTAGAATGCAGAAGTTGACTTTACAACTCTCAAGAATACAGTGGTCGAACTTACACCTTTCACGAATGCAAAGTCAAGAAGACATAGTTGATAATGTCAATAATGCAAAGTTAAGAATTCATTTTCGTAAAGGAAAGTTTGAATGGTGTCTGATGTGAAATAAAGGTTGAAAAGTAAACTATCAATATCTCTACTTTGTAATTAGTTCATTGACTTTTTCATTTTAGGAAGGTTTATTTTGTAATTGTGTAATGTTGAAATATGAATTTGTAAAGTCGAGGCCTTGTTTTCAAGTTTGACTTTGTGAATACTTTTGGCAACGATCCCCTTCTATAAATCTGGCTACTTCAACCTTTTTCATCACAGTTATTTTCTTCACAGGTATGTGTTTTTTGGGTATTTTATAGGGTAATTGTCTTTCTGGGTAACTATATTTTGTATGAGAGGTGAGAGGTATTTTAATGTTTAGTAACGGCAGCCATCTTGAATTTCTATGCTTTGGTACCTTTTATATCTAAAGTAAAGCTTAGTCTTTTGTAATTATTACATATTATAATTACCTTTAATTATATTTAATTAATTCACAGGTTTAAACATTAAATTAGTTTTTCAACAGTTTCCAACAGCTTTGGTTCAAACCCCGGCTTTGTGTGGGCTTTGTTTTTATTTAACATTATTCTTTGTGTTCTATCGCATAAGTTTTCCCCAACGCATATTATAGCATATATTGTATTTCCATGAATATTGTAGTGTTTAGAGTTATGTGCTTAGATACTTTATTATTAAGATAATCTAGATTTCGAATTTGATGTCTGAAATTGCATTTTCTTTCAGATTTTGTGAGATGATGAGAGAGTTTCATGCGGAAGGATAATTCAAAAATAGTCCTGCAGTGACAGTCCAGCGGATGTTGATAAAATGTAATGGTCTACTTTCAGTTTGGCTAGCTCAAGATTTTCATGGTCATGATATATTGAATTTTTGTCCAGAAATTAAGAATGGACAAGCCTTTATGTGACATATTGAATTTCGTGATTTAACATGGAAAGCGATGGCAAATGAATTAGTGCCCTGAGGCCGTCAGTCGTTTGGTTTTGACACTAGTTACTTCCCTTATTCAACTCTTTCTCATAGAATCTCTATAGTAATGATCTATTGCAATTATCCAAATGCCCATCAATCATATCAGGTCTTGCTACAGTCATGCAATAAATGTAACATGAATATTTTTCTCTTGACAAATCTTAGCAATGATTTAAAAATGACCTGGGCTAACTATTCATTTACATTAAAAGGGAAGGAACTCGTTGAATTTTGTGCTTCAAAAGAACTAATACTTAGTTGGAATAAATCAATTTCTTTTGTCGTAAATTGCCAAAATTCTTCCGAACATGTACAACGAATTTTGAAAGCCTTCTATAAATAAACAGTCATAACTCACCATAATTGTAGCAATCAGTTCAACAAAACCGAGACCTGAGAGAGCAGGTTATTTTCATGGGTAATTGTGTAGTAGTGAGAATTTACACAAAAACTATGAATAGAACTTGAAACTGTTTAATAAAGCTAAAGACACATACATGCGGTTCGTGGTCCGGTGCGGCGATGCGATGCGTTCATTTCACCGCATCGAAACAAGCAAGGGTATGCATTTGACATGACACATACATGCTGTTGCGGTGTTTGCTATATTTCCCAGCTGCGTTTAACCGGACCAAAATTCTCGGGACTTTCTGTCCGGTGAAACGCAGCTGTGCCGCAGGTGATTTTCATTATTTTCAGACGTCATTGTGGGGAAACCCTATTATTACAGAGTGGAAGCCGTCAACATGCCACGTTGGGTCAAATTTAACGCAACAGTGAACCGCGCGTATGTGTCATACCTGCCGCAAAGGTACCGCACAATCGCACCGGTTTACCACAACGCAGGCATCGCACCCGCATGTATGTGTCTTCAGCTTAACTGGTTACAATATTTACAATACATCGGCGTTGTCCGTCTGTATAGGTGATCTGGTCAATCCAAGATGGCCCTTATAACATAACATTCCGTATTTATAATAAAATGACATTAATTGATTAACAATCGACAATTTAAACATAAAAAGATTATGACAGATTAAATGAGAATTACCATCTGTGATACTAGAATGAGTTGATAAGGTATATATAAATTATTGCAATTAATATTGGACTTCTTCGATGGATGCTTTTCAATAATATTCCACTATCGTAATAGTAAATAATCGAAGTAGTAAATTCAAATTTTTCTTTTCACTTTGCTTTTACTGTGTTCAAGAGGGTACAAGACGTGTCTTAAATAATACTATCTCTTAAAGAATGGATATAGTATTTAAAGTCTCAAATTTGTCAATAAGATTATATATTCATCAGTTGGACTAACAGGTGCCATGACTATACAATTTCTATACAAGGCGATATATCCATAGAATGAAATAATTCTTGAAATACGCCTTATAAGCATGTTTCAAAATTACTTCGTTTAGTATTATAGTTTTGTGGATTTATTGGGTTATAGAGGGATTCTGTTGTATAGTTTTGACATAAGGTAAGACTCATTTTGGCCAAGTTTAAAATCTCAATATAACTTGGACATACTAAGAGGTAATATACCTTTAATATAGAAAAGCATTGCAAAGAGGTCAAGAGTATTTATGCGGACGGCCACCGACGATATAACCCAACATTGCCTACCGAGTTCTTTTTTTTTAAATATCTACTCAGAATCATGGTTCATTACCAGTCTGTAAAATTGCTTAATATTTTGTACTCTATACAAAAGGTCATGTATTTTGATGATGTATGTCAAGTACTCTCAGTAATTACAATAATGATCAAGTGATAATAATTTTATGTTACATGTTGTTCGTGATCAACTTTCTTATGAAAGTATGTCGACACACATTTCTGTCAAATGGTATAATAAATATGGTAGAATAATAACCTATATAAAAAAAAGAATCATTTTCTTGACATACTTTTCTGGTCTGGAGTTAATGTAATTATATCCCCCATAGTCCACCTACTCGGTGCACCTTACATCATTCCAATTTGCTAAAGAGAATTTACTGAGCTCTAACTCAGGTAACGGTGAGTACATGGAAAACTGGGGAATATTTCTTATAACATTACCCTACTGAACCAGTGCGAGTGACGTAAAAAGACCAACGGAGGGTTGTTTTTACTATTATTCCATTCTCTTAGTGCTATTAAAACAGGCACTCTGTATAATAAAAATAGGGGAAAATACCCAAAACCGATTAATGTTGAAAACGTGGTATAACTGCAATTCACTGAAAAGTCGCATTGTGTGTCTCTGTATAAGTACTTATAGGGTACAGAATATCTCATACCGATTGCTATGGAAAATCTTTACACTTCCCTAAAATGTCATATATGGAATGCTTTTATATATGAAAAGCACTTATAGTTATTGCCCATGAATATCATTATTTTGACTTGATACTTCATACAATCGAGACACAATACAAAAAAAAACTATATAGTAATTCATGGTGCCTGACTTGGTCGTGGCAATTTGCCATTTGTCGCATTCGCAATATATTTTTCAAACTTCATCTAAAATATAGAAAATAACGGATTACTTTTTCCCTTTACTGGAAAGAAGGTTAGTAGGTTTCATTATTTAATATTTCAAAATTACAGATAGATGAAAAATACATAATGCGCTTTATTGAATGATAAAATATATCTTAATATGCAATTATGTAATAATTGTAAATTCGATTTGAATATTTTTAATAAAATGAGCAACAATATTTTTTTTTTAAGCTTACTCTTACACATTGCATGTAACCGAAAATAATATTTTTTACATAGGCTGGTACAACAACTGTGTTGCATTGAATTAGGTCATTGAACTCTGTAATAGTTTTTAAACTATCGGAATGATATCTCACTATTCAAGGTGTTCTACTGTAGAATGATATATATATATCTTTACTTTAGTATAGCTGAGTTTCACCTCTTTTTTTTTCATAGTATGTTCTGGATGTTGGGGCCTACTTTTATCTCAAACCGAATATTTTCAATCTTTTATCAAAATCTAATCATGACCAAAACGATTCCAGTTCACACAAACTTAAGATTTAAGACTGTTTAAGTTTGATGAAATTCTATAACACTGTTATAGTTCAGCAAAATTTGAAAAAAGAAAAGGAGAAATGATCCCCAAAAAAACTACCAATACCAACTGTCCAGAAATTTACCTCCCGCTCATATCTACGAGAAAAGGTTAGAAGGCGAGGGTAAAATAACCGGCGAAAAAAAAGGCACCTTTCTCCTCGACTTTTTTTTTACCCTCTCTTCTTGCCTTTTTCCTCACTTTACCGTGCCTCGACTTCGCGCCCACGAGATTGTGATATGGCCGCAGCCAGCTTCCATAATTGTGTGAAGCGCCTTGACTCAGTGAAGACATTCATGCCTCCTGTGCTTGTAATTATCGAGAGATCATATCTTTCTATTGTTCCATTCCAAATTTGACGATTAATCTTTAAAGCCATGTGTTTTGTTTAGTCTTGCTAGCAACATAAAAAAAGATTAGTTTGATCAAGTAAATACATAGATATAAATAGCATACTTTAAACATATTTTCAGGAAAACTTATTTTCTAACAAGCAGAATGTCCCTTTAAGATTAAATATGTCTATAACTTTTATTCCATCATATTCTCAAGCATTTACCTTCAATTATAAAAATTCTCATCCTAAAATATTTGATTTTGAACAAGTACAACCACGATATATTTCTTTATTTTTTTTTAAATTTATTCACGATTTGTGATATGAGTTAAACCATACACGAAGTTACGTAAACCCTTATTTTAATTCATCATTACAGGCATCAGGGCAACCCGACAAACTCGACATCACGAGAGACATACATTTATCATATTTGTCAATAAATCGTGATGTCGACCAAAGAACTTTTCGTTAGATCACATTTAATAAATCTATATAGGCTCCTGACTTAAGACTCATATCAAATTAAAAAAAAAGAGCATCGGATATGATGGCATGTTCTATGTAGCCTATAATGCGTACCTGCTGAAATTTACTACGTCATCCCGTTGTCACCATCCTTTCGCATGTAAATTTTATGTATTATCATCTTATTCGCTCTGGATCAAAATAAATGTTGTGAATAAAGATTCTATTGGTAATTGACTTTTTACCATTAATATCATGTTTTCATGCATGCTGGTTTTGAAATCGGTTCCAATCAGAAATTAAAGTATGAATTAAATTTATTTCTTTAGAACAAGCAAAATGAGTTTAAGTGATGAAGATTTAGAGAAGCGTGTGAAAGAGAAGGATTCTACTAAGTTTATTACAAAGAATTTAAACTATGATCGTGTTAGTGAGGAATCTTTTCCAGAGAGAGAAACCTGGTCCAATAAATTTGATTTTATAATATCTTGTGTTGGTGCTGCTGTGGGATTTGGAAATATTTGGCGTTTTCCATATCTTTGTTATAAAAATGGTGGAGGTAAGACAAATTTTGTTGTGTGGAAGATCCTTTGGAATTTATTTATTGGTTTGAAATTTGTAATCATTATTTATAAATCAGAAATATATAGAAATAATAAATAAATCATGTTACTTTTCAGCCAAATATAACATCTATTTCAGGTGCCTTTCTGGTACCGTACCTGATAGCAGTAGCTACAGTAGGATTTCCTGTAAAATTCCTTGAGGTAGCTGTAGGTCAATATATGAGACAAGGTGGAATAGGAATGTGGAATATTTGTCCTATACTAAAAGGTAAGACAGCTTACTAATGTGTCGTCTGAATGGGTACCAGAAATGACATGGAATATAATGGCAAGCATAACACAGACAAACAGTGGTAGGCTACATCTGGCTGATAACTCAGTTACTAAAGTTCAAGCTGTCTTATTGGTTTGGATGCCATGAATAGCTTTCGTACAGTTTGGTCTTTAATTGTTCTGTATCATGTGAATTTTTCAGGCGTTGCTATCTGCACATCGGTATTTGTGTTTTTGGAAGTATCTTATTATGTTATGATATTTGTGTGGGTGTTGTTTTATTTGGGTTCATCTGTTGATAGTCCTCTAGCTTGGAGTCATTGTAACAATACTTGGAACACAGATAGGTCAGTTTTTACTTATCCATTGAAACTATTTATCTTCGACTTTAAACGACATTAACAGATAGATATCCTTTATGGTATACTTCTGAGTGTTTTACTTGACGACTAACAGTGTCACTGTAAACAACTAGCGTGTCATTTGTCTTAATTGTCTAGCATGCGTTACTGATAGTGATCAAATTGCTTTTGTTTCAGTATTAGTAGCAAGGGCTTCCAATGATGTTGTCGATTGTTACGTTCATCCTTTTACTTCATCTGACGCCGAACAAATTTATTCACTCATACTCCTTCCCTTAGGAGAGTGCACTTAGTTAATGATGCTGGAATATTTACTCTTTGTAATCAACCCCCGTCTTCATTAGCCCAGTAAGGATATTAATAATTAGGATCATTTTTCCTGAAATTTAAAAAGTTTCACCTTGTTTTTGCAGTTGTTTTGATGGTGTCGGACAACCTGATGTAAATATAACCTCAACTGATTTTATTGTCTTAAATTCAACTATGAATATAACTGATAATATAACAGTTAGTGATAAAGTTGATCCTTCTGTCGAGTTCTGGAAGTATGTATCTGTCATTTGTCTTAAAAAACAACTTGGAAACAAGTATGATAAACCTTTACAGCAACATTCTTTGAATATAGAATCGTAGTCGAGATCGTCAACCTTATTGGCTCGAGATTATCACAAATCTCTGGTAACTCATTCCTTGAGATCAGACTTTAACTTTGCTGCAATTTTGCACTATTCTACATAAAGATACATAATTCGATCCATTTTTGTGTACTTTAAGGTATCATGTACTGGAAATATCAAAAGGCCTGGATGAGCCGGGAATTATTGTATGGAAGTTATTAGTATGTTTAATAGTAATATATATTATATTATATTTTTGCGTATGGAAGGGAATTCGATGGATATCAAAGGTAAAGCATTGGTAAACTTTATTAAACTATATTATGAGTTTCAACTAACCTAAATAATGAAATCTGATTGTATTTGGGAAGGCATTCGAGAGAGTACAAGTCATTTGTCTAATTCTAAACCATTGTTTGAGTTCCTACGATGTGTGAGTACGCAACTCAAATTTAAATTCAATCCACTGTTATGAATCGTCTTGGGTATTGCTCATTCTCTGCCTTTTTGGGATGAGATAATTATTATCAGCGACCTAAAACAAATTACTGAAATTCTTCTACCAAACTAATCCGAATTGGCCTGATAGATTTACCGTTTTAACTGCAGAAAATAAGCTCTTTCACTCGATTAGTGACTGCATGAATTATGTTCAAGGCTGCTTGGGTTTTTAACTATTTCGAAATGGTCTTTGTGTTTCTTTCTACTGTATTTATACGATTGTGTACTACTATTATTTCTTACGACAAAAAATACCATTTATTATGGACAATGACTAACATTTTCTTATACAATGGATTAGCCGTACGAGTCTAGGCCCCTCTACAATGATTTCACCCCGCTATTGTTTGCAAGTGTCTCTCCTTGAGCTCATTTATCGGTAGTTTTAAAAGCCCTAAAATACCTTGACAGCAATCGCCACCTTTCTTAAATCATGGAAGTTTGTAAAAAAGAGATTTGATTGGAATGTACGCTTGCTAATACAACCAATCAGAGCCCTTGACAGAAAGACGTTAACAAATTAGCTGTGTGTGTAAGGGGGTGTATTTGCTAGCTACAATCCAATCAAATCGCTACATTTACAAACTGTGATACAAGAAAGTGGCTATTTCAGTCAAGGTACTAGACACAGATCGTAATAGCTTGGCATTGTGAATGGGGTACTAGTGGCCTAGACTCAATCAAACGATATCACCAAATAAGCATGAGTGTTTTTGAATCCGTTTTATTCAGTTAAATTTGCTTCCTGAGCACCCATTATATCAATCTTGAATTTCATTTTGAGGCGATGGGCAAGAACATTCATCATTTTTCTTATAAGGTTCTGGAGTAACCTTTAACGGATTATTAACACGAAGGATAATAATATTGTTATTGAATGTTCTAATTTTGTAATAATATTTATCAGTACTGACCTTTCTTGAATTGATGAATTTTCAGGTGTAATATTGGTTACAAAAAGTATTCATATACTTTTTAATTATATTTTGTTAAATACATTAAAAATAACAAGCTTTGTGAGGTAGGTTCAGTTCTCACTCATTTCAGCTTATACCTGGTCACCTGATCTATTAAGATGTTGGAAACCAGACACAGCATGCGGATGTATCATTATTTTTTTCTAATGACATCTAGTTCCTCTTTCCAGGAATCTTAGATTAGTATTAATGAAGTTATTTTCTCGAGGTATATGCTCCTGTACATTACCCATGCCCCAACAGCGACAACAGAAGATTTTGTATTTAAAACGAACACTTTGAGGCTGAAAAATTATATTATTTACGAAAATGAATGATAATTATACTTTGATATGTGAAGCACTTTAATACAGTTGGGTCATGGGTACATGTATACAAAACGTTTTTTTCTCACCTAATACATTTCTCAAAGTAAATATGGTTAAGAGCTGATCTCAACCATTGTCATCTTTACGAATATATTTGGGAACATCAGTTCTAGCTATATGTTGTGGATACGGATGACATTAGGTTGGAATCAGAATTTTGATTCATATGAGATACGCGAGCCGATTTAGATTAGTATAGATAATGAAGAGTCTTTCCTCTTTTTATCACTAAATTGCTTCATTTCAGTTGAGAAACAGTGGCTTCTCCTTCTAAGTTATAAGTATAGTACTTTCAGATTATGGTTTTAACATTATATCATTACCATCAAGTGACAAACTTAAGCAGTTTATTCTTTAACATAATGTGTATTATATTAATAAGGTGGATATATTGGTTGCAGATTGCGTATGTAACAGCTATTACTCCGTACATCATGTTGATAATATTGTTGATAATGGGGTCTCTAAAAGAAGGTGCTGTAGATGGTATTATATTTTATCTTAAACCAGATATTCATAAACTTGCTGATTTTAAGGTAAGCATCACTGTACATTATGCATACTTTAAAAACAACCAAAGGCATTAATTTGGTTCACTGATCACAAAGGCACGAAGCCGACAAATACCATGTACGTTTACAGACATACAAAATAAACGAGATAGACAAGAAATGACCAACAGCTATCCTGGAATTTTAAAGACTGGAATGGATTGATAAAGTCCGTTGTTCGCAGATTTAATTTGACAGTGACAGTCCCTCCTCAAGACTGTGAAAGGCCAATTTAAGATAAGATTCAGTCCTCTGAATGCTCTAAATTCAGGTAATCCGTTGGCATCTGATGGCCTCTGACAGCCCCCAGTCCTCTAGCCTCAGGGTTATTCAACCCTTCCGATATGGCCTCAGACAATTTCTAGATACGCCCATGTAGTTTGAGCAACATTTGTCTGTTCCATGAAATCTGTAGTTGTGTTGTCTATAATAGTATTGTTTACATAGTTTAACATCGTTGTATATCAGAGTTAGATTTTTTTTTATTAACAAAAGGCTCTCTGAATATACTTTGTGCTTCAAATTACAGGTTTGGTATGCAGCCTTCTCCCAAGTTTTATTCTCATATTGCGTTGGATTAAATGTGCTGCCGGCTCTTGGAAGTTATAATAAATTCCACACCAATAGTTATAGGTTAGAAATTGTTAAGTTACTTCGATAAAAGACTCTGACGTGTCGTTTTTGGACACAGCAAATTTCAGTTGCTAAAGTGGATTATCATTGGCAAAAAATAGTCAATGTCTTATTCAAAGAATGTGAAAACACGCATTATCTTTACTGCTATACAGTAAACAGTAGCACTAATTTGTACGACAACATAATTATAATGTTATTGTTTATTTCAGTCATACTATTATTGTTGCCACAATTAATTCATTTACCAGTTTGTTTTCTGGTTTTGTTATATTTACTCTACTAGGTCACATGGCCTACCTTCAACAAGTACCTATTGATAAAGTAGCATCCTCAGGTATAATAACATATATTTATCTTTTTTTCTATCCATTACATATTAGACAATTCACAAGACTGTCGCAAATGTCTTCAGATGTCCCAGAATGATGAAGCAAACCAGACAGACTGGGACATTTACAGCAGGACACATAATTTAGTATGCACATCTGACAGCTTCCGACTATGGCGTATTTAGACGGGTGGGCCATTGGGGGATGTGTAAGGTCTTTTTTGAAGTGATAATTAAACCTTCTAAAGGCTAACAATTCATCTCAAGCCATCTGCAATCTGTTGGCTTTTGGGGGTCTCTATCAACCCTTCTCCAACCCCTTGCTCACATCGAAAAGGACACCTCATTTTTGCATGGTCGGTTGCTCTTGCTAACTTCCAGTTTTTTAACGGTGGGATATATAGTTTAACATGAACCATTATTATTCTGTGGTATAATGATAGACCCTTTAATATAGATATTTATGTGTTGTAGGTCCAGGATTGGTTTTTATTGTTTACCCACGAGCTCTAGCAGAACTTCCAGCTCCACAATTCTGGTGTTTTCTTTTCTTTTTAACGCTGGGATTGATAGGAATCGACTCAGCGGTAAGGACATCTTCACAATAGCAGGCTTTTGCGAACATCGTCTCGTAAATTGACTGCAATGGCCACCTTTCTTGTATTATGGACTGCATTGATTTTATTGGATTGTACGCAAGCAAATACAGTCAATCAAAGCCCTCTACATAATGGCTAATGGTTTTCATTGCGTGTGTTCTGTAACTGTGATACAAAAACAGTGACTATCAAAGACAAGGTATTAGACACAGTTCAATTCGTAATAGGTTGCGGATGCGGTAATGGTTTTTACAACCTATTTTATTTTGAATTATTTCTTTCTATATGGATATCATCAAATAATCACACTTGATCAGTTTTTTTGTCATACTCCAAAAGATTTTTCTACATGTCATTGACTGTTTACCTTGTAATTTGACGTATTCAGTTTATTAGAACCGCCATGATCACGTTAATCCCAATAAACTATATTTTCAGATTTTACTGTTAGAAGGCTTCTTGGTTTCTATTATGGATATTTCCAAAAGACTTGCTAGAAGGAGGGAACTGTTCTTATTGGTTACTATTTTTGGCACCTTTTTATGCAGTCTTCCGATGACAACTCAGGTATAAGTTTATATTTATAAATTTGTATGACCACCCTTATCTTGATTCACTAAATGGACCAAATTAAATTAACGACGTGTGCTCTTGCATTGTTGATATAATGTTTTCCAAAAGATGGTTAATATAATTAATACAATTTCTTTAGAAAGGTTCTGTACAATCTTGTTATCTATTTGGTGGTATTTCAATTGTAATATATTAAATTTTTATTAGGGTGGTATGTATGTATTTCAACTGGTTGATTATTATCTTTTTGGTGGTATATTAATGATGATAATATGCTTCATGGAGACTATTGGTATAGGATGGCTTTATGGTAAGTCTGATTATGGTTAAACAGATAGAGCTATATTTGAATTGCAATATATATTAAAATTAAATGCCACGCCCACTAACAACAGATTTTTCTGTTCTATTAGATGGTTGAGAGACTATAAAGACAACAAATTGAATTGAGTAAATTTATTAGGTTGATTGTTTGAAAAGGACGATTGAGCACTTATAACTTCTATCGAAACAAATTTCTATTGTAGGTGCCGACAGATTTTATGATAGTTTAGAGCTAATGATTGGATTCAGAATTAATTTCTGGATAAAAATTTGCTGGATTGTGATAACACCTGTGACTATTTTAGTAAGTACCTATCATTTATTGACTTGATGATAATATAAATTTTAATATTCAGACAAGTTTTATATTCTTCACCGAATTCATTTATTTTTAATGAAATTTGTAATAAAAGAATTCCGTTTATACATCTTCACAATGTCAAGTTATAACTATATTACGAACTGCTTGACTTTATTTACTACTATCACAGAAGTTTGTTATTGCAGCAATTTGACTTGATTGTTCCCTACCAAATACACAACCATCGACATAAACAGTTCCGTCATTAGGGTGGGGACATCTAGTCTTCAGTTAATTAAAAAGATATAGATTTTCATACGTTCTTGGCAGCTCAAAATAGTCAGAAATACTCGAGTTTTCTGGGCCCACAAAATATGAGCTCCAGCACCAATTCATTCCTGGCGACGGGGCTGGAAATAAAACCTGTAAACTACAAGCCATAATGTTGACATTCTTGTCGAGGACTCTGATTGGCTGTATTTCTCTAGAGTACAATCCAATCGTATTATGCTTTGTGTCTATGTTTTTATACACCGACATGAAATGGGGGCGTATATTATCGTCACCCATGTCCGTCCGTCGGTCCACAATCGCTCGTAAACACTCTACAAGGCACAATTCTTTACTGATTTCGACGAAGCTTAGTATGGTTGTTTGTAATCACCAATGGATGAATTCTATTGAAAATCAGAAAAATCGAAAATATTTAGTATGAGTTATTGCCCTTGTTCTTAAAACGCTCGTAAACACTCTAGAAGGAACAATTCTTGACGGATTTTGACGAAACTTGGTGTGAGTGTTTGTTATCACCCAAGGATAAACCCTATCGAAAATCAGAATAATCGAAACATAATTAGTATGAGTTATTGCCCTTGTTCTTGAAAACGCATTCAATTTTTAGCTCGTAAACGCTCCAGAAGGTCCAATTATTGACAGATTTTGGCGGAACTTGGTGTGACTGTTTGTTGTCACCTAAGGATGAACCCTATTGAAAATCAGAAAAATAAGTGGTATGAGTTATTGCCCTTGTTTTTGAAAATACGATCAAATTGTAGCACGTAAATACTCTAGAAGGTACAATTCTTGACAGATTTTGACGAAACTAGGTGTGAGTGTAATCACCCAAAGATAAACCCTGACGAAAATCAGAAAAATATTATTGCCCTTGTTCTTAAAAACGCGTTCAAGTTTTAGCCTGAAACACTATATGAAACTTGGTAATATTATTCAGTATCGCCTCAAAAAGTTCAAAAGAAGTGTATGTCTGAAGGTTGAATATTTCATACTGGTAAATGTTACTGTACTGACAAATATTTTTATTTAAAATCAAAGCTGCCAGTGGGTGTATATTACCTTGCCTGGCAATCTATCTTTCAATATATTAGAAGTAGGCTTAAATACAATTAGCTTAATTATCAATTTCAGATATTTCTGTTCTATCAACTAGTGACAATAGAAGGTTTGGAATATGATAAAACGTATGTGTACCCACAATGGGGTAATAGTATTGGAATATGTCTAGCTGCCATGGTTGTTCTCTTTATCCCACTTTATATTATATATGAGTTGCTTGTGAATAGAGAGAATCTCACAATTAAACAGGTAATATAGTATCTTGAGACATTCTCATAGTTATCAACCAAAGAGTATAAATTTTGAACTAGACAAGGGCAGTAACAAAGAAACCCCGGAATCTGTTAATGTATACTACCAAAGTATATATGGAAATTCGATTTTTTAGCCTATATATCACTTGACAGTTTAGATTTGACATACATCATCGAAGGGCAGTAACTCAAGAGCGTTTGCTAGACAAACTGATCCGAATTCTCTGAAGAAATGTCTGTTACATGGAAAACGCTTTGTACCACTTACTTATAACAAGTTATTTCACTATCTAATAAACGATACAATGCACCCAGTAGATATGAAATAATTGTGTGAAATTTAAACATTTCAGAAATTCAAGCAGCTTTTGGTACCGATATTACGCGATGAACAAATACCAGATAATTGGCATGGGAAATCTCATCAATGGATTCGAGCTAATTAATGTGATTAACTGTGGATAAAAACAATGAGTAATGTAACTAGGAGTAATGTCTATCAACTAAATTGTTCATTAAAAGGAATGAGAGTGCTAAACATTTTATTTAAAAAGCGACTAATGCAGACGCCAGCTTTTGTCATGTTACATAAAGATTTCAAGAAAATATTTTTCTCTTTTTTCTTTGTCGCAATCGCTGTTACGACTTTCCTGTTTATCTTACTAAGAATTTCAAAGTAGAATAAATAATTATTTATTATATAAGATTTATGTTAAAAAATGCCAATATGTTCTTTTAAGTCTGTGATAGTTTCATCAAAATCATACCAAACCTTTGAGTGTTTCGGCACATTTTGGTATTCACGTGTTTCTTATTAACACAAACATGTTCCGAAAGAAACAGAACCCCATTGACGTATTGAATGGTTAATTGGTACAATAAATGGCCTCATCCTTGTTTATCAGTTAAAATTGCAAGTGTCCTAAAAAAGTAAATGAACTTGATTTACGGCGCCGTAGTGGAGGTGGATGGAGCTGAACTTGATGTTACTGGTGTTATAGATATTTCCGGACTAATTGTGGCCATGTCCTGATTTCGTAACTGAGACACGGCACTTTCACATTGAGTAACAGCTTCGTCATAGAATACATAACGTCGAACCAAACTGTTCATGATGAACTCAAACAATCTAGGCATTCTCTCGTGTCGTTTTCTTATTTTATTTTGAATAGTTCCTTCTGCAGTTACCACTTCTACTGGAACAGATGGAAGCTGAATCGGTTGACCATCGACAGAAGAGTTGTCAATGATGGTGTCTTGTTCTGGAAGCTGAATAGGAATATCTACACCTTGAGTTTCCAACACGTCATTATCAGACTGTTGCTCCTTGTTAATCAACGCCTCAGATGGCATCTGTATCGGTACACTTACTTCCAATGTTGTGGCTGGAATTTGATCTGGTACCGATTCTGACATTTCCAAAGCCATGTTATCACTGCTTACGGCTGGATCCTGACTATCAACTTCAGTAACCTCCTCTAAGTCTACAAATTCTCTTTGACATGAAGCTAATGCCACTTGCTTCATAACAACCTCGTGGTTTAACTTGTGAACCAAAGCAAATATTTTGAAGATGTTCAGTTCCATACGATCATTGGTATCTTGAGTAGTATTTTCACCTGTTGGTGCTTCTGTAGTCACATCATCCGAACCTTTGTTAAGTCCAAATAAAATGCCCACCAACAACCATAATATGCTGTATGCCTTCATTGTATTTGGTGAAAATGAGCATTGGACAATTCTGTTACTTTATAAATACTGGTAATATTATCAATTAATCTATTCTCTTATCATATAGTACAGTGTCAATCATAATTTCTATCTAACACCTTTATCTGTAATATATCTTTAATAAACTTTAATAAGTCAGAGATCGTGTCAAAAATGTTTCAATATTTAATGATTAAATCAGGGGTTTCAACATTATTCCCGTTCTGCATCCTTGATCATTAACACTGATTAGGTTGCAAGAGCTGAAACTATCAACCGGGAAGCAATCATCCTTCTATTAAAAACGAAAACGAATGGATGCTGTGGCAAAAGTTTCCGTCCGTACATCTTGCGCAACGAGAATATATGATTGAACATCGTTGGATGTCAGCTGCTTCCATATACGTTTTCATGTGAGTGTACATGAACAATACACATGTAGTAAATTCATCAAAGAACAACTATCAATTTTAATTATTTTACTTCGGCTAATTTTGGTTTTAAAGATTATAATAAATATAAATAAAGACTTATTCCTAATGCAAGAAACACAATATAACAACAATTGCTTATATCTTATATCGTATACAGCTATTCATGATTTTAAAGATATCTAATTGAAAAATCTCCGATTCAAAAAGCGAAACATTAAATAACAATATAAGTCGAACTAACAACAACACAACAAAGAAAAATGTTCACTTTTAAAGTCCATAGTTCCACTTTAAAATTTATTCTAACTGGAATCACAATGTGCACTGATTTGCATTAATCTCAAAAGACTCTTCTAAAAAAATGTTACGCCTTGTATCCTAGGATTCGAGCAAAAACCAGCTCAATTCTGGCGGTCTTTGGGTTTAAGTCAAAAAATCCACACACACACAAATAATAATAAAATAAATATAGATTGCTTTTGATTTAATACATTCATATTAAATTATCAAATCAATTCACGTTCAATTTCTCCAATACTCATACCTTTCTGCAGCAAAAAGGCAGCTGGAATGACAATGGAGTGTGCTTGAAGCCCATCCATTGGAATACCCAGGGGTACGTGATCAGTAAGACGTTGGTCGTCCAGTGATAATGATTGTATAATATCTAACCGCCCACCATCGACATTACCACCAACGACAATTATCGACGCCCCGTCTGACATTAGGGCGAAATCATGACGACTGAATTCCAGTATATGAAATAAATGCTTTAACTCATCTCCACCAGAATGAACAAACACCTCTCCGCTTGACGATATCAGGTAAACGTTATTTTGTTTAATCTGAACTGATTTTAGACCACGATGTGGATGATCCAAAACCGAAACAATTTGACCGAGTTGGGTGCTAACATCAAATAGACTTATACATTTACTCAGACCATGTTCATCAAATCCACCATAAATAAATATTTGTGTTCCAATAACCCCGACAACAAATGATTCCACTAAATGTGTCAATTGACCAACTTTCTTCCATGACAAAGATCCTGGTTTAAAGGCTTCCACGTGTGCTACCAAATCTTGTTTATTGCGCTTATCATTTCTACCACCAAGAATATAGAGTGTACTACCAACTGCCACCATCGCATGTGCTTCTCTGCCAACAATTAATTTGGGAAGATTCGACCATGTGTTGTCAGCTGGATCGTAACAGAAAACAGAATCAAAGCCCTTAGATCCGCCTGAAACATATATCTTATTTTCTAAAACACATGATGCAAAATCAGTCCCCAAATGTTGTGGGATAGAAGATAGAGAATACCACGAAAGTGAAACATCATCCCAACAAGACATGTTATTCAGACTTTCACAGTCGGTAATGCATCCCCCTAAAACAACTGTTACACGACGATATTTCTTGACATCTCTTATTGTCCTTTGCCTCATTACCATGTTTTTCTTTTCGGTAGGTATCAGATGACATTTGATAGCATCATCTACGGCCTGGGTAATCAAGGGGAATTTATCTATCAGTTCATTCTTATATAGGTTGTTATATAAGAACTCGCCAGATACTTCTGGTAAACAGATGAAGTTAAACAATTCTGGGAGAGAATCTAATCGTGTTTCTGGTTCAGCATTTACCCACTCTATTATAGTTGTACATAGAACATCTTCACTGGTAAATTTCAAATTTTTGTCTGTAAGTAGTTTGGTCAGTGTGCCTTCCTTCAATTCTTGAAGATCAGTTGCAGCCATGACATCTTCAAACTTAGTAACACACATATTCCAAGCAAGATCTGCTATATCTTCACAACTGTGTCTTTTAGACAGGTGATAAAAAACCAGGCAATTGCTTGGTGCTAACGATTCAGCCATGTACTCCTTACAGAAGTTTTCAAGTAGATCAAATTGAAGAAGAAGAGAAGCTTCAAAAAGTTCTTCAATGATGTCAAGATTAAAAATTTGACTCCCTCTGTAAATGTAATTTAATACAGATTGAAAACATTCTGGGGTTATGGATGTTAAACTAGTGTGTCCAGAACTAGACTCTGCCATTCCAGATTGAAGCATAGATCGGAAGTAATTACAGACAGCACATAAGATAATTTTATGACAGTGAAATACGGTATCACCAACCGTAACGTCAAAATCTGTCAGTATATTTTCTTCAAACAATTCAGCTAGGTTGTCCTGAAGGTTTAAGGCTGTAATGGTGGTGTATTTGCCTTTATTCCCCAATTGATCATTTGGAGCATCACTATCAGAACTAGAGCTACGACTGAGAGCTCGGTTTAGGTCTAGATCACCATCAGAACCTTCGAACCTAAAATGAAATAGATGTATATAGTTTGATTTTGACATTTGATTCAATTGTCATTTGGTGTCTTAGCATCTCCGCAATGTCAAGGTAGTACGTTCTCCGATTAATTTCGGAAAAATCTGATTGGCTTTTTTGTCGCTTTCGTACAATCTAATCAAACCGCTACCTTTACAAATTCACGATGTATCACCAGAAGGTGATTTACTATTTACTATTGCAGCTGTTGGTAGTTTTTTGCAGTTTTGGTATAAGTCGCAGTTCGCAATACCTTGATATTCAGAAGATGTGGTAGTTGAAGCCTTGACAAAAAGTCACGTCTACTTAGACTTTCGTAGGCTATAATGATTTCTTTATCTTTGAAAGTAAAGTTACCTATTTGTATCGATGGAACTATCGGAGAGATCCATTTCATCCATTTCTTTAAGAGTTCTTTCCGTTTCTTATCTCATTAACTTGTTACTCAGCAATAGTGACAACTTTAATGTAAAACCTTACTTCTACTTTCACTTTCGCTACTTGAATCCATATCGTGGTCGACTCGCACTCGGAACGTGCACTCGGAACACAATAGTAGTCAGTTCTTCTCGCGTGAATTTGCGATGTTTCTATGGGGAAGCGTCAAAATGGCCGCTCCCAGTAAGAACAATTTTTTGTCAGTAAGTGTAAATCAAATATTTTTAAATTGGAAATATTGATTTGAGATAGAAGCTGTTGTTATAGTTATACATTATCGAGCAATTTGAAAACATGCTATTCCTAGTACAAGATTGTTAAACATCTCATCTAATATCAACGTATATTTATTGCAAATTAATATAAAGGAACCAAAAGACAAAGTATCAAAAACAAGGGACGAGCAAGATGTCATCAAGAAGAGTCCCGTGTGAATAGAGGGAGTGAAATAGCGCCTGGTTACACACTGCATAGGCCTAAATCTTCTTATTTCAATGTCATTAATGACAATCTTAATGCAAATATGTATTTGTATCTTTGAATTACCAAAAATTCACATTTAATCTTTTCTTTATAGTCTACAGATATACCTGGTCTTACCAGTCACAAAAATGTGGGAACTAAATTACTACGCAGACCAAGAGCACCAAAACCATCCTCACCGCCTAATAGTTCATCATCCCCTGTTAGATTCCAGGAACCAACAGAAGACAGTTCTCCTGAAAAGTATTACCCCGATACATCAGAAATTGAGTCTCGAACGGAATCTCATTCAGTAGAATATACTAATAGATACTCTCCTGTTTCACCACCACCTCCATCAGAAACCATATCAAATAGACTCTCTTTTCCAGCCGGAACATATACATCACGGGAAAGTCATGTCACATCCTTTCTGACACGTGATAATACAAAGTATATTCTAGATCCTGTATTTAGAGGACGAACCAGTTTGGGAACTTATGTTGATGGTAAAAGTTTAGTAAAACCATTTAAAACAAGAGGACCTGATCCTTTTCCTTTAAGACAAACAAAACAGTTTCCTCCTGTGTTTCAAGATTGCAGCTTGGATGATGATTATTATCACACCCCACCAGCCTTTACATTGGAACATTTTTTAACAGTTTCTAAGAAGGAGAGACTACCATTAATACGTGTAAAACAGATCATGTATTCAACACATAATTATAAAAAACTGACCAAACTACTGGCTGCTAAATTTATACATAGAGTTAAATCGGGAGTAACAAGAGCTTCCAATAAAATCCTCACACCAGAAAGTAAGTAATGTATTTTCTTTTTCAAAAACTTTGTAGCTGTTTAAAGAAGACCTCCAAGGTTTCCTTCCACATCGAATGCCACAAGGTATAACCAAGATATCAGACTTTATTGCCTGGTGTTCAGTAAGCTTATTTTATGAAACAGCATCTGCACAATGTCATGCCATTACAACTTCATACCTTGAGATACATAGGCAATTCAAATGCATTTTTGGAAAGCACAATTAAAGAAATGGCCTCTACCATGGAAAGCTATTATCTTTGCAATGTCAAAATTGAAATACTTACACCATCAGGCATTTTCCTTGTATGGAGCAATTTGATCTGTAGTTCAATTTTGACATTGCAAAGATAATGAAACAGTTGATAAAAAAAACTATTTTGATATGATTTTACACATCTAGGCCAGAAGATACCAGCCTATGAACCTAGAGTTCCCCAGAAGCAGTTATTAATAGAAATGGCAGCAATGATCAAGAAACATGTACGAGATATGACTGATACCGAAGTTAAAACATTGATAAAACCAATGCCTAAATTTACTAGTTTAAATGGTAAAGAAATGGTGCCTCATACTGAAATTATATTATATGAAGATAGATCTACTGATCGTATTAATTTACATAATAAAAATAAACAGTAAGATATATTGTTATTAATAGTCATTTTCAGTGTACATTTAAGGATGATATTTGGAAAACTAGATTTATGTATTATTATTATTATTATTTATTATGAAGTCACTAATAATAAATGAGGCATCACTACATGACCCCCAAAAACTTCCATTTTTGATGGTTAAGGATCTGAAAAATACAACCATCCCAATGTCTTTCATTTGTTAATGTATTAAATCGTATGAAATTAAGAAAGAGGATTAGAAACTGATACTCATATTATTTCAGATCGAGTGAGCTACCAGAGCAAGAAGCTGTATTCCATTCAGCTAGATCACAATATTTTCAAGGTTCTGTTCGTAGTAAATCACCTTTTAGTAAGTTAATTTTTTTTTTAATGAGGTAGTACAATAACAGATAACAATCATTGTATTATACTTTAGTCATCAAACTACTACTTTGTGATACCATCATATCAGATTCAAACACCCAAATCTGCATCTGCTTCAAGTAAAAGTATAGACCAGAGGGCATTACTTGTAGTCAAAATTGAACTCCACTCTCATGCGTTAAATTGGATTAGTTTATTAATGTGTTTAACTTACATGGATTGTAAAGAGATTTTCATATTTTTTCATGTGTATCAGGGACACTGATAGCATCATTTGCACCATTCCAACTCGCAATCAGAAGTCTGGTTGCTGCAATTCCTTTCAAACTAAGTGTTTATTGTAAAATATGTTTTATCACATAAGGCCCTTAGCAATTAATCCTTAAACACTTAGTTTTAGTATAATTGTAGGAACCACAGATATCCATTTGAAAATTGGAATGGTGTAAATTGAGGCTATCAGTGTCCCCAATAAACATTAAAAACTAACTATCCCTTAAACATTGTAATAACATTGATCAAAATTCATGTATTTTATAGCTGTCGCAGGTGAAGGAACTATAACTCCATCAGAATTAGCAATTTTAGATGCTTTAATTAGTGGTGGATCAGCTCTTAGTTTAAAAGTATGTTTATATTCTTAAAGCTATAATATCATATAAGGTTACTTTTTAATATCCCTACATTCCAATGTATAAAAATTCAGGAAAAAATCCAATATCATCTTTTTGATGGGTTGGCTTATAACTAGGAATACATGTTTAATGTAAAAACAGACCAAAAAAAAAAGGCCAAACCATTTTCCTTATGTGTATTTTTTAACCGTTGCCTATGTCAATCTGTCATTCGTAAACACTTGTTTATAATAGTTCAAACTACTTTCCAGAACTGAAAACTCAATAATCGAATTTATTCAACATTGTGTAATCTAGACATTGGATGTAATCAATACATTCACATATTCCCCTTCTCGTGAAATTTTAATATTTATTTCTACTTTTGTAGGCCCATTTTATCAGTGAGTTGCCAGATATAGCTCCTATGGTTAAAACTATAACTTATCTAAATCTATCATTCAATGATTTTACAGTAAGTGCAGCAAATATTTAGATAATCCATTTTACGCAGAGCAACATTTACTTGAAAGTTCAAATCTAAGTGAAGAAAACCTGTCTGGGACAATGATAATATCAATTTGCATCTTTCTATTTTTCAGCCAGGCATCCGTGGTTCTTGCAGTTCTGCTATAACTAAACGCTTCTTGACTTCATTATCACAAAAGCTGCTAGTAATATGATAAAGGGCCTTTGTGATAGTGATGTCATAACTGCTTTGTTATAGTGGAATTGTAAGAATGAAAATTCAATACTTTCAGTGTTCCCAAAAAAAAAACATTTAGAAAACCTCTTTAAAATCACTTTTATACTAGCATTTGTATCGCATATCAATTTTACTATATATTTACAGTCAGTACCAGAAGAAGTATTAGATATACATCAACTTCAGATATTTAAAATGAGGAATAATCCGTTACTGGTATTACCTGATGATATAGATAGATTATGTTGTTTACGTACTCTAGTTGTATCATTCTGTTTAATATCAACAATACCAAACAGGTAAATACTTTAAAAAAGAAATTGGTTTGATTGATTGTTCCTGTTTTGGTTACATATTGTTAACACCATCGACTACCACAGAATGATGCAAGCAACTAGGATGTGGTTTGTGTCTTAATTTTGTAGAACAATGAGGCAGAAAAAGTGTTAAAAAGCATATGACTACAAAAGTTAGTAGAAATGAGAGCCTCATATGCTCACAACTTCCATATGACTTTAGTGTGTGAGCAACTTGTGATTGTAATTTAGTGAGTATAATATTTGTTATTTCAGTTTATATAAATTACAGACATTAGAACATGTTAATCTATCCTATAATAAATTAACATCTATCTCTAATGATATCAAATATATGAAGTAAGTAATTTTTTATTTTTTTGAATCGGAACATTTGTCGACTATTTTTTTGATGGAGATGAAGATATCGACTGCTCAACTTGGGATGATTAGAAGAAACCTCTTTAATGGAGGTTTTTTTATACAATACTTGCTAATGCATTATGATTTAATGTTTTATTTTCAGAAATCTAGTAGAATTAAATATTGAGGGTAACCAATTACCAGCAATGCCCTGTGGCGCCCTGACATTAAATTTACAGTACTTAAATGTAAAGAATAATTTCATGCATCCATTATTTTGGAAGGAACATACAGACAATATGCCACAGGTAATGTTCATATGGAAAGCACTTCACTATTGCTATGCTAGGTATCCTGTAGCCTTCTTTGCTAATTACATGTTAAATATCTTCTAAAACATTTTAGTGACTCTGTGACAGTACATGATATATATTTATGGAAAGGAATTTAACAATATTTTTTATTTTTGTTTGTAGACATTATGTGATTTATCAGTTTTATGTTTGTATAAAAGTGAAAGATATCAATTAAAAGATTTACCAGATTCTGTGCAGACTTTATATAAGAAGTAAGTGTCTTTCCTTTTTACTGTTACACCCTTTCCCATTCAATAAGCAAGTTTTTGCTTATGCCCTGGTTCACTTCTGGGATTATATTTTTAAATAGAATTTTAAAAGAGAGAATCTGTGCGACCATTTTGTGCTACTGTTTGTGAGCCGTCACCAAGTGGGCAGAGTTTTGAATGCGGCTTCAGGACTATGTATTATTGCAATAAGATTGTGATGGTCAACAGCTAACAAAATTATTTTGATTTTTCAGAGCAGGAAAATGTGATTGTTGTCATCAGGCCATGTTTGGACAGGGAATAAAAATCATAAGACCAGTATCTAAAATATATGGAATCAAGAATTTGCCCTTTATTTTTAGAGCTTGTAGTTTATCATGTTTAAAATTCTTCAATGAGAATACTGAGTCTTTATCATCTATATTATATGGTGATGATTAACTCACTTGTTATAATTTATATTTATAGTACTGTGATATTTATAACTGTATATTTTGTTTATATTAAAATTATTTCTCAGATAAATATTTGTCATTTTTTAGACATTTAACAGATTTTTATTTCATTTGAATGAATACTGCCCCTCAGCACAATCCTTTAAATCAACATTCCAAACTTGTTTCCAAGTGTAGACGTGAGAATAAGTTCTACTTGTCCAACTTCAGTAAGGACACATATGACTGAAATGTTTGGCAAGAGCAATTATAAAACAGTTCAATCTATTCTACTTTATTAACATTAACAATTAGTTTAACAATAGCTGACAAGCTAACTTTGTTATAAGTTATTGAGTATTTTAATCAAAATGCTAGAGGAATATAGTTGTCTTAAAAATGTACACATCAAGGTCCAATTCAAAACATAAGCAGTCCACTTTTATTTCAGGGAAAAATAAATAGAATTTCAAATTCAATAAGCCAGACTTATTCTGTTAATTTTTATATTAACCTATCTAAGAAAAGTGTGGGCCACTTGTGTTTGTTTTGAATCACATCCTCCTGTGCAACAATATAAGGGTCTGAATATACATATATATTTCACAATGAATCTGACTGGCTGTTATGATATGTTACAAATGAAATGAAATATTTTAATTCAAGTACTTATGGATTTTTATATAAAATGAAAATAGTTAAATAGGTGTGCACTTGGTAGAAATGCTAAATAAGTCTGTTATCAAATGCCAAGGCTATATCAACTGGAGATTTTCTAGTGCTGTTGTGAACAGGTAGCTAAATTCTGTTATGAATTATGAATTGGTAATAAATACATGATATAAAAGTAGAATACATGTTATATGATTGAGGTAGAGAGTAGTGATAAGCAGTTTAATGATAAAAATGATATGATAAAATCATAGTACGTGTTGCCCATTCTCAGATATATTGTTTTGCAAAACATGTCTTTAGTTATAGGAAACACTAATTGAAATGGGAATAATAATTATAGAGTAATAAGATCTATCAGATAATTTAAAACTTAACATTCTCCAATTTAATTTATTTCTAGACTCCCGATTGGTCACATTACATGTAAGGTTGTGCAATATTCTTGAAATTCAATGTTTTTGACAACACACTACTGATTAAAACAAACTCATAAGTTACAGGTCTAAATTTAAAAGTATCACAGCTTATATATGGTGATTGTTTAAAAGCATCACATTTAGAACCATCGAAAAATTCCTTATTCTAATCAAATAGAAAAAGATATTAAGATAAGAAACAGGTTATGATTGAATGAATGACAAAAATATTTCAATGATTAAGATATATGGCACAAGAGTCAATAGAGAGAGAAATAACTACTATAATAACAATATTAAATGTCAGGGATAAATAATAAAACATTTACAATGACTCTAGTTGTCACTTAGCTATTTCATATTAATCAAAATGTAAAAAATGGATTAATATTACATTTCAAAGTCCATAAGTTGAATATTTAACCCCCTTTGGCAGTCAAATTTTAAATCTGGAACCAGATATATGTTTTACCATAGAAAAATTGGCATGCAACATTAAAAATATAATATATCACAATAACAAGCTAAATATATATTAAAGCTTATTGTATATACACTAACAATTATTAATATAAACAATATAAATCAATTATCCAATATATTCATAATTCCAATATTATATATAACAGATGTTAGAAGGTTCACCTTCAAGAAATTTTTTTTTAGAAATAGGATTGATTTGATGCATTCTCACATACAAAACATATAAAAATCATAAATTATGATAAAATGTTTTAGCTATGAAATTTTTCTATTTGTCCCTTCCCCCTAGATGCACTCCCATTATTGCCAATCCACAGGAAATGAAATTTGTATTTTTATTTGATTAAAAGCACTAATCTATTATTGACCATTGTAGTCCTTTTTGACTCTTACCTTTTTTCATCCAAAATAAAAAAATTGCTAAAGTGAAAAAGTATAAAAATATATAAAGATATTGACTAAAATATAGAAAGAAAATCAAATGCATATGCCATTATAGAATATACCCAAAGTTACCATAAATATAACAATAGAAAGACAAAGATGTACAAACATTCCAGTACAAAAACTTAATATCAAGGAAAACATGATCAGGTAAATATGTAACTCTTTATTTAGCAAAAACATTGTTAAAGTTGAGCAGATTTGTACATACGTTTGAATTAAGCCATTGTACAATATTATCATCAGGCAATATTAAATCTACTTCTACCTTTCCATACCCGCTTTATAAATACAATGTTTTTATGTATTATTGTATTTCATAAATATCATAAAAATAATAATCAAATTTATATCAAAATGCAAATTCCATGATTGCCAAATACTGAATGATTCAGAAACATGATAGCTTTAAGTTTTTGTCCACTAGCTTTAACCATAAGGTACTGTAAGTTACATGAAGCTGGATTCATCTTTAACAAAGGTTAACTCTTGACTTGAGTTAGTCATGTTTGTAAATTTGCAATAAAATAAAGATTATGTTTCAACTATCTACAAGATATGTAAGCTTAATCAGTAAATGCATCCATATTTTCAAAAGTTTACAAAAAATTCTTCCGACTAATTGACCTTCTTGAAATTTTACTTCAGAAGGAAAAAAAAACCCATGCCAAATATTACTATAAATGTTATCACAAAGCCCAGTTTAAATGACCTTCAAGTTGATTGTTTTCAAATTTCATGTTTTTTCTAATAATTTATCTCCATCAGTTTTGATACAATTAACTTATAAGTTACAAGTATATGAATTTATAATATGTCAACTCCAATTCAACATTTCCCTCACTCTATCCAAATCATAGAGGTATTTCTTGGTTTTAAACACTTGTCAAAAAATAATCATATCTTACTACCCAATAAGAGAAGAAGAATAGTATAGTGTTTCCACAAGACATTAGTTGCCTTTCTTAAACTGAACCATTTGGATTTCATCGACTGCATTTTGTCTTTCCATATGATGTCTATCTTCTACTTCATCTTTAGAATCTAATAAAGATTGATCTTCTTTAGCATCTCCTTTTTCACCATCTGCTCTATTATCTACTACTACTTCTTGTAATGGTGGCAAAGTTGGTTTATCAAATTGTATTTTTGGTGGTGAGATTTGACTCATGTCAACTGACATAGATCTTGGAGTCATATCAACATGCGACTCTTTGGATCTCTTATCACAAATATCAGTGTGATTATCATCCCAACTAACGGTTCGTTCCAACATAGGTGCGTGGGTACTAGACATGACCCGCTGTAAACTTCTATTTTTACAATTTTTATCTCTCAATAGATTGTGATGACTCCTTCTATCTTTATAATATTTCAAATTTCTATCATATATAGTATGTTTTAACTGAAATATAATCAACAATATTAATTAAATCTAAATAATTAATATAGATCAAAATCAAAATATGGCCAAATTTTGCACCTTTTTTAGCATAATTTACTTTGTGATCTAGGCTAGTGCTTTTATGAGACCATGTTCCTCATCTAACACTTATGTCTTACCAATTCAAACAAAATCAACAGTCTACAGATCAAAATATCTAAGTCAAGTATGAAACATTTTGCATCATATAATTTGCATGTGCTTTAGCCCAAAATCTCTTTAATCAACTAAGAGTAGTTGTAAACTTGGCTTCTATTTACAGTTTGCTATGACAAAGATTTAATGCAAAAACAAGTCAAAATTGCTAAAAGTACTTACTGTTCTTGAAGAACGGATTGATTGTAGTAAACTACGCAGTCCAGAAGCATCTAAATCTTTTTGAGCATCACGATTTCTTAATACAACACTATCTGTAATTTCATAAAACATTATTAATATCAAGTTTTGTATTTATGTATTAAATCGATTGTCTGAGATAAAAATTTAAAGTCTTTCAATTGATTTAATTCAAATTTGATGTTTCTAACTAACAGTTTTGACAAGATAAGTTAAGTTTACCAGGATCCTTACTACCAGATGCTCTATGGCCATAACTCTTGACATTAATCTTATCCATACCCATTTACAGCTGGGTCGATTGGAATCATGAGAAAAGTCAGCAGACTTTCAAATGCTAACTGAGATTAGAACCAATGACCACCATTTGTGAGCAACTATCTGGTGAGCAATTGTCCCGTTGGATGTAACCAAGTGAAATTAGTTCCTAACTGATTGTGCTACAGAATCCTTCATTAAGAAAGAAGAAGAATATTTCACTCTTAGAATGTTATATTGCAAACCATTGTCCTTCAATCAACTATGAACTAAAGAGTTTCTGTATCAGAAAGTACAGGCCTGTTTCATTAAAAATTCCATCACTAAATTCTATCTGGAAACTCAATATGAAGTGGTTTTGAATATTGTTGAAAATGACATACCATCATCAGTTTTTAATGGAGGATGTTCTGCTCCAGAAGAATCATCATCTGATGATGAACTATCATCCATATCTCTCAAATATAACTTGGTGTCTACTTTCGGCCTAAAAAACAAAAAATACATAATGTAACAGAAATGAAATGAGTTTCAAGTACTACTGTATCAAGTACTACTGTATCAAGTACTACTGTATCAAGTACTACTGTATCAAGTACAACTGTATCAAGAACAACTGTATCAAGAACAACTGTATCAAGTACTACTGTATCTAGTACTACTGTATCAAGTACAACTGTATCAAGTACTACTGTATCAAGTACAACTGTATCAAGAACAACTGTATCAAGAACAACTGTATCAAGTACTACTGTATCAAGTACTACTGTATCAAGTACAACTGTATCAAGTACTACTGTATCAAGTACTACTGTATCAAGTCCTACTGTATCAAGTACTACTGTATTAAGAACAACTGTATCAAGAACAACTGTATCTAGCACTACTGTATCAAGTACTGTTGTATCAAGTACTACTGTATCAAGAACTACTGTATCAAGTACTACTGTATCAAGAACTACTGTATCAAGTAGCCTACTACTGTATCAAGAACAACTGTATCAAGTACTACTGTATCAAGTACTTCTGTATCAAGTACTACTGTTCTTCAGATTCCATTGGTTGATGGAAACCAGCACGAAATACAATACAAAATAATTTAAGTTTGAAATACAAAGACGATGATAAGCCTATTTAATTGTTAATCTTGCTACAAAAGTGTGAAAGGCAATAAATTTTTTGCAAGTAGCACCGTTGTTTATACATAAGAGACTTGACAAGTTATACAGGCCTAAATTATAATAAAAATGTTAATAGACAAAGGATAGGAAACAAAAATTTCAAAATTTCCTAACTGATCAAAAAAATTTATAAAGGAAAAGTAACTTAAAGGTCAAAAATGCCTCTTATTATCAAATTAAAACCAGAATACCTTGAAGCTACACATTAATCTTAAGTCATTATGTATCTAATAAATAAAACAAAGTCCAGGACATACCAACAAACATCATAAACAAATACAGAACAAATACATTTATTATCAATTTCCTTTTTAATATGTAACCAAGGGAAGTGTGTTATAAATTATGTTTGTGGGTGATGAATTTGATGGTGATTGGGCAAGAATTATGTTGGGAAAAAGTGCTTGGATATTTCAATGGTAAACTGTTTTTTTTGTTTCAGTGAAAACCTAGTTATCCAACCTTGGTGAAAAAACGTTTTTGCTTCAATAGGAATCATAGGACAAAGTTCAAACAAGGATTACAAATGCTCTTTTTAAATTGAAGATAGAAATTATAAATTCTTCACATCGAAAATGTTATCAATCAATGTATATCAAGATATAAAATATATAATGGAAACATGCTAACATATACTCTTAACATTTTATATAAATTATAATATCTGATACAAGACAACCATGCATTATGATATTATATGGCTGTCTGAGAAGAACCTATTGTTCGTAATTATTTCAATTTTTTTATTTTAACTTTTGTATTTCACTATGTTGTCTTATCTTTATATTTTCATTTTATTTCAAACATAATGTATAATGTTTTTAAATCAAACTTAATTGGTGGTGATTAAATAATAAAATGGGCTGGTATACAAAATGGAAACAGAATGATAACTTGTTATTATTTTATATAATAAAACCATGACAATTATAAAATAATATAATCAATATAGATAACATGAGAATTATGAAGACATGCATGACATTTAGCAGCAATGAAATGAAAAATGTTAATACCAGTAGAACAATACCATACGAATGTAAAGATGGATAACAACAAAGGTTAAAGCCAAATGGCAAACTTTAGAAATTGTACCCTACACCCCTCACCTTTTTATAAGAGAATAATAATTAGCACTTATGTTTTTAAAATCATTGAGTCTAAAATAAAGAAATGTGTATAATGCTAGGTATTTAAGTGTAACAGATGAAATTTCATGCAATTAATGGGATGTAGCCATCTTATGCTATAGCTCAATTCAATTCAGTTAACAATTAAATACTCAACGTCTCCTTCTCCTGCAATTCAACATAAATGGACCACAACATTCAACATTTCATGAGCTGATAACACTGTCACATTGTCCATTAAAAATCATTGTTAATTAATGACCTTGGATTGACAACATTTTAACCATAGCAACATCAATTATGAATTTTGAAAAATACTATGGCTGAGGGATCAGAAGTTGAGATGGTAAAGCAAATGTCGAGATTACTATAGGAAATTTTTTTTGTTTTTGCTATGATATTAATAATTACTACTTTTTTGACAACAAAGAATAAGAATTTGATAGCACTTACTACTTAAAGAAAATAACAAACTAAATGTATTAATTTAATGACTGGTAATCTACAGAAAGATCACTGAATAGTAAGTTGATAAGAGTTCCGGATTCTCAACAAGCCTTAAGCAATAGAAATAGATATATATATTGTTATAAATGAAAATATAATGATAGAGAAATGTACATACATGGAATCTGGAACTGATCTGGCATTACATAACTTTAAATACTTTAAATGTTCCCTGAAAATAACAAAATCTTATACAGTTATATCAAAGAGTATATCCATATATCTTGTGCTTCTTTAACACAAATTTCACAAGACATGCCATGCAATGGGTAATGAGGTAAAATTTTAGGAACAAAGGCATAAGCTTACTTCCACATCTTTCATGAGATATTACACTCAGAATCTTCCAGGGTTGAAAAATATAGGAGTTCTATCTCAACTTATTGATGAATGCGTTCGATCTTTGAATAGATATCTCACAGTTTTGACAGGTATGATGAGAAGATGTACATGATGCGAAATGACGAAAGATATACAATGATATAGGTTAACTCACTTCAACATAATCTTCTCATAAAATCCCATTAAATTAGAAGCTTTTTTTCTGGGAATATTTAATAAAATCTTTTTTAAATAGGTATCATCAATATGTTCTAATTTTTCCTGTAAATAATACATAATAATTTCACCCATTTCAGAGAAACATGAAAGATATTTTCAAGTTTCATTATTAGATCTTGATCAAAGATATTTTTATGAAAGTTAATAATGATTTAAAAATAATCTATATTCTCTTACAGTCTGAAACACTCTATAATGAACTTAACATGCAAGCTAATAAACCTGTCTTTCACAGTTGAATATTTTACCTTAAAATAATATTTTCCATGAAAACCCATGACATCTTCTATACCTGCCATCATATGATCTGTAATCTGTAATCATTATTAATAATAATTTAATGCAGTAAGATATGCTCCTTGGTTCATACTTTGTGGGGCACTCTATCTGGAGTGTTAGCATGATAGTTTGAGCACTCTGGCATGGTGCGATGATATCACATATGCAGGAATATCTGAGGCGGCTATAAAGCCAAACCTCAACTCCAAAATCAGCACTGCACTGATAAGGCCCAGAAGGCCGAAACAGTTCTGTTTGCAGTTAATAATAATATATAACATAACTGTTAGTTGATATCTCAATAAATCAAATATATTTAGCAGAGATCTCAAAATATTGTTTTAACATTATATTCACATGAATGTGGGCTTAAATAGCAAGGCAAAATGTTACTAGGAATTCTGTAGTAGCAAGGCATGCTTCACTATAAACAATCACTATAATAATCATTGCTGATAAACTCAAATCTAAGTAAATTTTTTGGCCCCATCTTAAAAGTTTAAACTGTTGAATGATAATAATGATGAAAAAAATATCTATATAGAAAAAATTTAATATAAACTTACATGTTCATTAAGTTCTAAATACATTGTTTCATTTTTCTTGGGCGCCAGTCTGATCTGTAGTAAACCTACTAGTGGTTTAATAGTTATTCCCTAAAAATACAGTAGCCAACTTTACCAGCTATATATACAATATTCTTACTATGCACTATTCAGAATAAAAATCCTATTCACACTATAACATAGCTCTCAGAAATTGAACTGGATGACGTCTGCAAGTTACAGCAGTTAGATATTGAAAAAGGTGTCAGAATTTGATTCCAAACAGTGATATTGGTAACTGACAGCAACATATTTTTTTTGTGCCAAAGAGCAATTGATCTTCACACAAAATAAATTTTGCTGAAAAAATAAAAAAACATACACAAGATTCTAGAAACAGGCATTTAAAGTATACTTTTACTTATTGCATCCTACAGAACCAAGATAGATTTGTTGACTTCAGACACATTGCTGATCAAATAGCATTTAGTCAATTTGCAATGTAAGTCAAATCGAAAACATTTGACCTTACCTGAACGAAGCCAGTAAAGACTATAACTGATAATGTGGCTGTTAAAAATAAATCTTTCTGAGGTATTTCAATGGGGTTTAATAAAGCTACTAGAGAAAAACAAACAGCCCCTCTTAAACCCCCATAGGCCTGAAACATAATCAATACAACAAAATAGTTCATGTTGGCTGAACAGTAGGTATTGGTAAAAGCTTAATAATTGATTAACGGCATCAACTAAGGCTCCAAATTGGTATACCGGTACTTAATTAGTCTAAGTTAATGCTGTTGCAATCAGATGCAGAATATTAGGACATAAAACTCTATTTTAATTCCAGTTTGCATTTGACACAAAATTAATTTGCTTGATGAATGTTTGGTGAATATGATGAAGTAATCAATTTTGCTCATTCAAGTGTACTTTGCTTTCACAACAGTGTAATTGGAATAGTGCAGTAGTTACTGAACACTTGTTTGCTGGGTGATAAGATACCTTTAGAGGTATTAAAATCCTGTCTTAGGTAAAAACATGAGGTTTCTTAGCATTTAATTGCTAAACAGTTTTTCTTATTACAATGAATTATTTAAAACATAAAGAGACACTTACAATAATAAACTGTTCATCAAGACCAATCTTTCTTACTCTATGAGTATCCAATCTATTTATCAAAAATGACATTCCAAATGTGACTGAAAAAATGAGGGGATCAAAGGAGTTATACTGGGATATCATTAGTTGTCTTTTTAAAATAAAATTGATCATAGATATCCAAAACTTTGTTTCCAACTTGCTAGATGGTCCACAATTAATGGGAAGAATGCATGTATCACAAAAAGCCAACATCAGTCTCTAAACTACTCTTTTAAAGGGATCTAAAAATATACTTTTTCACATTGAGATTAGTGACTTCATCAAACACTTCATTTTAGTGGAATGCAGGAACCACAGACTTTTGATTGAAAATTGGAATGTGCAAATTGATAGTTCATAGTGTCCCCGACACATACATTTTTTTAGAAAACTGTTTTACAAATTCTTTAATTCAAAAGTTCTTACTGATAAATCTATAAACTAAACATAATAATACAGTCCACAATATAAACCCAGTGTGCCATACGTGTGTCTGTCTTACAAATGATAAACCCAAAAATAGAAAGATCAGAACTTCACTAAATGTACTGAAATTAAAATAAAATAAGATGTAATTATAAATAATATGATGTTTCTTTCAAATATTCTTTTGATATCTTATTCAAACCTTTACTACATTCCTTTTTAATTTTTATTGCATTTTTTTTGGCCTTTAAGCAGGAATTTTTGAATTTTGTATAAATTTTTAAGAGTTTCTTTTTCATTTCATGTCTTAAATAACACTATAGACAAAATCATTTCTGCTAATGAACTATTTTACAATACTAAGATAGCTACAAAGAGCGACAATATTATTTAATAACATTCAATATCTAAGTATATTAAAATATAAAAGTATTTACCTGAAGACTTTCGAGAAATATTTGATGGATAATCGAGATTTATCATGGATATTTTGAAAGGAATAGTGAACTTGTACCAGACCACATCCAATGATACTGAAAAATTAATATATCATTCTTTATATTTTTATTAGAATTTACTGTTTTATATCTTATATCTACTATTGTTGTGAATTAGTGTAGAATTACTTCAATACATTTGATAAATGTATCATACAAAACCATTCTAGAAAGAGAACGATAAATTTTATTTTTAATTACACATTTTGAAGAGATTATCTTGGAAAGAAAAATTTACCTTATGATTCCTGAGAATTCAAACAATTCTGCCATTAAAAATCCTAGATATGCCATTCCATATATAATAATAGGTTGTACAACTAAAAATATGAAAAGTTAGAATTTAGATAATATAATTATGATGAGGATTTTACATGTGATAATTTATAATATGATCTTTCTGATGGAGCAGTACATTGTCCTCATTTTTTTATATTTAAATTGAATTTTACTGATTATTTCTATTGTTTATATTTGCCATAACAATAAATATTCGTACATACGATCATATTGAAATATGTTTTTAAAAGAAGACAATTTTCAACCAAAGTTTATAAAAGTATACACTTTTTATTTTTATCAATCAAACACTCTCATATATTCCAATTCATATTAAGTTTGATTTTACCTTTTAACTGTGTTGATAATCTTGAGAACATGGCTGATAGTAGACCAAAACTGACACCTAATGCAAGACCACCAAAACATACAACTAAAAATTTTACAATTCCCAAGACAATCTGCAACATGGAGGCAAAAAATATAGCCAATATATAAACAAAGTGGTATTTTCATGCGGTTTATGTAGAAGTCATTTCTATCAAAATTGTATCTAAATTAGTTAAAATCAGCGCTATTTTTTGTGTTTAGTTGTTTTTAAAATCGCAGTCATTACCAGACATCCATATGCTGTAATAAGATATATTATATATAAGTGGTTTCAGATTAGAAAATCTTACCTGATCTATAGTTATTTCTTCCATTAAATTAAAACTCTGCATTACATTATAGATTACAACAGTAACACCATCTAAAATATATAAATAGTTACATTATAACCTTATATTACATTATAATATATAAATAATTACATTATAACCTTATATTACATTATAAATTACAACAGTAAAACCATCTAAAATATATAAAAATTACATTATAACCTTATATGACATTATAATATATAAATAATTACATTATAACCTTATATTACATTATAATATATAAATAATTACATTATAACCTTATATTACATTATAATTACAACAGTAACACCATCTAAAATATATAAAAATTACATTATAACCTTATATTACATTATAATATATAAATAATTACATTATAACCTTATATTACATTATAAATTACAACAGTAAAACCATCTAAAATATATAAAAATTACATTATAACCTTATATTACATTATAATATATAAATAATTACATTATAACCTTATATTACATTCTAAATTACAACAGTAAAACCATCTAAAATATATAAATAATTACATTATAACATTATATTACATTATAATATATAAATAATTACATTATAACCTTATATTACATTATAAATTACAACAATAAAACCATCCAAAATATATAAATAATTACATTATAACCTTATATATTACATTATAATCAGAACAGTAACACCATCTAAAATATATAAATAATTACATTATAACCTTATATTACATTATAATATATAAATAATTACATTATAACCTTATATTACATTATAAATTACAACAGTAAAACCATCTCAAATATATAAATAATCACATTATAACATTATATTACATTATAATTACAACAGTGACAACAGCAACACCATCTAAAATATATAAATAATTACATTATAACCTTATATTACATTATAATATATAAATAATTACATTATAACCTTATATTACATTAAAAATACAACAGTAACACCATCCAAAATATATAAATAATTACATTATAACCTTATATTACATTATAATTACAACAGTAACACCATCTAAAATAAATAAATAATCATATTATAACCTTATATTACATTATAATATATAAATAATTACATTATAACCTTATATGACATTATAAATTACAACAGTAACACCATCTAAAATAAAAATCATTACATTATAACCTTATATTACATTATAATTACAACAGTAACACCATCTAAAATATATAAATAGTTACATTATAACCTTATATTACATTATAATATATAAATAATTACATTATAACCTTATATTACATTATAAATTACAACAGTAAAACCATCTAAAATATATAAATAATTACATTATAACCTTATATTACATTATATATACATTATATTAAATTACAACAGTAAATTTCTGAAAAATTGTTAAACTCAATAGGCCTATCTTGGAGAAAATATCTCTTACCATTTAATAAAGATTCTCCAAATACCAAAAAATATAATACATGATTGACACCAATTTCTTCAAATACAGCTAAAACCTACAAAAGACAATTATAGTTAACATATATATTATCACCATAATAACATAGAATAGAAGTTGTACCTTCCATCTGTTTCTTAATTCTATAACCTATAGGAGGGCAATATTGAAAGAAATGTATGACTTAAGGTAGAACATTTCAAGATGGTGATGG